TGACAATCACAGAGGAATCAGTTTGACTAATATAGTGTCTAAAATATTAGCCTCAATAATACTTCGACGCCTAATCAAAGCTCGTGAAGAGCAGACTAGAGAAAACCAGGCTGGTTTTCGACCTGGACGTGGTTGTATAGATCAGATATTCACACTACGTCAGGTTCTAGAACACAGACACATATTCCGACGCCCCACCACCATAGTATTTCTCGACCTTGAGGCAGCATTCGACTCGGTTGATCGTAAGGTTCTATGGCAGTGTTTGTCACTGAAAGTAGTACCAAAGAAGTACATTAACCTTATAAAGGCTCTCTACTCGAACACAACTGGTCGAGTGAGAGCTTATGGAGAGCTGTCATCAGAATCGATTACCTCAAGTGGTGTTCGTCAGGACTGCCCACTCTCCCCATTCTTGTTTAACTTTGTTGTTGACGTGCTTTTAGAGATGACACTTTCCTCATTTAGATTTCCAGGGGTTGAACTTTTACCGGGAGATTCATTTGTTGACTTAGAATATGCAGATGACATAGTTTTATTTGGTGAAGACGCTGACAAAATGCAGAGTCTTCTGACCACTCTAAGCAACAATGCAAGCATGTTCGGGATGCGATTCTCTCCCTCGAAATGCAAAATGTTGCTTCAGGATTGGGTTACATCGACACCCGAACTAGTGATAGGGAGTGAAGTAGTTGAGTGTGTCGACCGCTTCACTTATCTTGGAAGTCTTATCAGCCCTTGTGGTTTGGTGTGTGACGAAATCTCAACACGGATACAGAAGGCTCGACTAGCTTTTGCCAACTTGTGTCATTTATGGCGTAGGCGATACATCTGTCTATCAACCAAAGGACATGTTTACTGTGCAGCAGTTCGTTCCGTCCTACTTTATGGCAGTGAAACATGGCCGGTAAGAGTAGAGGATATTCGTAGGTTACTAGTATTTGATCATAGGTGTCTTCAAAACATTGCTCGTATATCATGGGACCATCGAGCAAGTAACGCAGTTGTTAGGAAACGGGTACTAGGTAAGGATGGCAAATCCATTGATGAAGTAGTGAAACATCATCAGTTGAGATGGCTGGGACACGTGTTACGTATGCCCAACCACCAATTGCCTCGACGTGCGATGTTTTATGGTGTAGGAGTAGGTTGGAAGAAAGTTAGGGGCGGCCAGACCGAAACATGGCACAAGTCCATGAAGTCACTGAAAAGTGGACTGAGTCATGTTGGTAGGTGTAGACTACCTGGTTGGGGACCACGAGATGATAGCAACCGATGGTTAGAGACCCTGTATGACATGGCTCAAAATCGTTTGCAATGGCGCAGGTGCATCCACTCTCTGTGTTCTCCCAAATTTTGATCTCCTTATTCCTCCTTGTCTCCTTTTTTTCTCTTCCCAAATTTATTTCACTGGATTATACTCTTTAAATAACATATCCAAACCCTAATCTTTCCGATTACTGTTTATACTTTTACTGTCTCTACCACTACGGGATTTGAATCGACAACTGCATCTCTGTGCTAATGTGGTGTGGCAACTCGAACTGATGTACGTGCGTACGAAGTTCTACGTTGTTACTGACTGTGTTTGTGTACGGTCGCATCGTACAATAGTACAATTATAATAGGTTTTCGAAATTTGCATGTAAAGATAATTTTGTCTTACTACATAGTTCACCTTCGTGCTCTACACTTGAAGTTTATCGAATGCAGTTGAACCTGAAACTGCTTCCTATTATATGCGTAACCTACCACTGACATCACGTAGTGTAATTATAACGAAATATACCTTGTTTGTGTAGTTTGGTTCACATAAAATGGTCAAAAGTGGAAAGGTGCATACATATATATATGTATCCTTATGATTTTCTCTTTTGATTACTGTAATTTAAATTTATTGGTAAGGATTACCTATACAGTGCATAACTTTTATAGACTTTATAGATTAAACAATTCTTGTATTTGACTTTTCTCTGTGTGGCTCCTAACTTCTATCTACGACAAAATCCAACTTACTGGACTGAGTTTCATATCGGTATTCGTTTTGCAGTGTCAGTATTTAAACTCAGAAATACCCAGTCATGTTTTCAATAAGTGATAATTATGTATTATAGTTCAGTTTCAGATAGTTGAGTGGTCATAAATGTTCTCATTTATTTTTTCATTTAGGGCTCAACCAAGAACAAATCGAAGACCGAACATCAGACAACTGTTGGAGCTGTGCTTTCCACTCAGGCAGCTGAAGAAGTACTAGAAAAATATGAAGTCAATCAGATGATTTTAAGTGAACCAGTAGTGTGCAATACTAGTGTGGCTGCAGAACCAGATGTAGTTGATCCCAATTCAGAGGGGTTTTTCCATGCACTTCAAGAAAGCTTTGCAAATGATCCTGCATTACAACAGAAGTTTTCCGCAGAGAAATCTGAAACTGTAAAAGATGAGGCCCCTCAAGATATTGATACATTTCTGCCTGGATGGAATTCCTGGACAGGTCCAGGAACTGAAAAGGCTGATGAAAGAAAGCGAAGATCCAGAATTATACCTGCTCCTAGAGTAAAACGTGAAGATGACAAAAAACCTCACGTAATCATCAAACGGCGTGTAAACCAAGATTTCAAGCAACACTTGGTATGTCATATATATATATATATATATAATATATATATATATATATATATATTCATGAATGTCTTTAGTTTTTTGCAATCCTCCGTTAATTTTTTTCACTTCAATCTTTGCTAGGTAAAAACTATTCCGTTCCCATACAACACACCAGAACAATTTGAAGCTTTTATCTCTCAGCCTATTTGTAGAGAATGGACAACAGAACTTACACATCGTGAACTAACAAGGCCTAAAGTTACAGTTCAGTCAGGTCGTATTATCAGACCAATATCAAAGTCTGCAGCCTTACTACGTGATAAAGATATAGAGCGTTTTGTTAAACAAAACAAAAACTCTTAGTATCATGTACATTACTTATCTTTTTATGAGTTATCAATATCTACATTGTAATATGAAATATAACATTCGTAGATTGTTCAGTATTATTTAAGGTAATTTAATTACAGTAAATGTCCTATAAGAAGCTTTTGCCCTAGCGGCGAGTTAATTGACATATGTAGTATTAAACACGTAGTTTTTAATGTCCGGTGAGTGATATTCTGAAGTAACAATTACTTTGGTTATGGAATATAATGGTTTTAAAATCGATATGGATCCTATGTGAACTACTAATCATGACGCTGCTGCATTAATGTAGACAATTGGCAACATGCAGAATGCGTTTGTTTTACGTGTTACATCGAATCTCATCAAAAAGTGGACACTTCTTATAATTACGAAAATGTGAATAGTGGTATTATATGTAATCAAAGGATTTTAGGTGGGAAGTTGCGTAGTAAGTAATCTTTCGAAAATTACAATAATTATTGGGCAGGAAAATTAACAGCCATAGCGAATCAGCAGTCCAGTTTCAAACAAGGTATAATTATCTGAATATTAATAAAATATACTATTAAATAATAATGACCAACCAGTGTTGTCTGACTTTCGATGATACTGTTAACTGAGCTTATTCATGTCAGGAGTAAGATAGTTATCGTCACCTACAATGGATGGTCACCGCGCTACTTCGCGAACTGATTAAAGTTACGATTACGGATTTTTAACCTCAAATTAAGTCGTCCAGTAATGTGCGAAACTTGTAGATCCTCGATTCGATCTTTTAAAACAACAAATAACAATTATTACAAAACAAGATGGCATTTGACTCTTCTAAAATGCAAACAAATAAGGCCAAGAGGAACCAATATCAGCAACTACTTATAATTCGTAAAACTCCTCACAGATGATATACCACCAAACTTTTGGGTTCACATACAAAAAAACTTATTATATTACCTTCCTCATTAGTTTGACCTAGAGAGATATTGTGCAAATGCAGCTTGGTATGAAGCTAGATTTACCTCCATAGGATATTTTTTTGGTTGTTTCGTTTGGTAGAAATATATTAGAAGAAATCTGCATTTTATTTCACATGTACATTATACTTCTATAACTGTAGCAAGTAACTAGTCAGAATCAAGTTTGTATTGTTCGTTCCATAAACTTAAGTTTTCATCTGATTAGACAACCCACCAATTTTTTTCGGATCTGTTTTGACTATATTTTGAGATGTTTCAAATATGTAGGTCTTTGTTGTAGTTACTGAAAACACCATGAACATAAAAGTAATAATTTGATGCTCACTAGCTTTATTTAACTTATAAATAATCATATTAACGAAAATAGGCCCATCGTTACCCGAAATATTACTTGGCTCTTCCCTGTATTTCAAATAGTTCTGATAATCACTTTACGAATGGTATCATTTTTTTAAAAAAAAGGAAGGATTATTTAGACTAACAGCTTTCGAACAAAGCTATTTTAATTGAACTCCAATGAAGTATAATTAGTAGTTAGTAAATCCAAGTGAATTGTTTTTATATATTGAAAACGATAGTTTAAAATCTTATCATATAGAAATCTCGATGTAAAGATAAATTATTGTATTACGAGTACATTAATTTATCTAACATTCAATGTTTTACTAGCAGTGGAGTGGATGACGCATGTCTCTTCCTATTTTGGACTCGTCAGCTGGGTGTACCTGCATCTGAGTTGATGTTCACTCTTGGAATCAAACCCAGTAGCATTCGCTTCAAATGCCATCGCGTTATCCACTCAGCTACTGAGTCCTGTATTCAATGTTTAGAGTAATCGAAATCAACTTTAAAATATATTGATACATTCCAAGTAACGTAAGTTTAAAATGAACAAAACAATAAGAATATTAAAATTATCTAGATGGTGCATAAAATAACTTTTGAAGAAACATGATAATTAAAAATAAAAATATTAATTCAGAAAGGTTGTTTGGAGAACAGCAGCATGCGATGGGATATATCTGTTCATTTGATTAAAGGTTTCAGTAACTGCTCAAATTATGCGTCCGTATTTTACTTGACAGCTTTTTTAACATTATTTTGAAATTGACTTGTCACATTTCCTGGAGGATGATACAAACAAACCAAAATCAGTTTCGAATCTTTATGCAAGTCCTTTCCTGATTTGTAGGATTGACTTGCAATACCAACTCCAATCCTTTCAGAACTTGACCATACAATTTGAGTAAAATTACCTAGAGCAATTAACATGATGATCGATAATAAATACAAATTACGTAACAACGTAATGTTTTAGGTCTCAGATATAAACAAATACAATTTCGATATAAATCAATGATACTAACCAATAACAGGAAGTGACGATGGAACTAGTCATTTGATGGCAGAGACTTTTCATTCAGTCACTAAGCAACTACATTTACACCGTGAACCCGAGAAATCCATTATTTTGCCCATTAAATAATTCCTAGTGTCAATACATAAATCCATCGAAAGAGAGCAACGCAGGCAGTTTTTATAATATATAACTCAAATAACGTTAAGTGAAAAATCCTACTGCCATCTAGTACTATTCTGACCTTGAAAAATCGAGATGCAGAAATACATATCTTCGGGACCATATGTGAGACGAAATTAATGGCCAGTGGTGAAGAAAGGGAGTTCTCGACGTAGCTAATTCTGGGGACAGTAGTTCATCACGAGTCCTAATCCTACCAACGGTAGTGAAGTAAAAACCCTTTAGTGTTGATGCACTTGCTTAGTACACCTTTCAGTGACATACATGGTGAAAAGACTTCTTGACCAGCTTACAACGTATAGGTGACAGATGTTTTTTGTTCGTCGTATCTCATCACCCAAACCATAGAGAGAACTTAAGAGACCTATACTAAGTTAACTATTAGTGTTAGCCCTCCGACAATATACCCAGAACAAAGAAAATGAGACTTGTTGAATAATATTAACCAAGTTGACAAAGAAAAGGTTTAACAATTCTCCAGGCTAATTATTTTCTGAACTACAAAAATATCATTGAAGAGGATTTTATATTTACGCAAATATAGAAACAGGGGTTATGTGAGGATTTATTCAAGTGTAAGATAAGTGCACTTTCCATTTTGAACTAATGGTTCTCAATAAAAAAATACTGGTTAGAATCGTACTTCCAATCAACTAAATTAGATTTGAAATGGTTTTGGATTATCCCGTTGTTTATATTTTCAACTGAAATCTTATCAGTCTTGGCTGGCATATGGGCATCTTGTGTGTATTGCCTTGATATAAACATTACGACAAGTTGGTATCGAATAAATAGAATGCAGATAGCATTGGAATCCGGGACACGCATTTTGTCCTATTTTGATATTCCCTCTAAGGACTCGAACCCAACACCGTTTGTTCCAAATACAATCGCGTTGGTCAGGTGATGAATCGAAAATGGGACGAAACTCTTTTCCTAATACTAGCCATCTTCCATCTATTCTACAACTAGATTAAAGTTCACTGCTCTAGGATAATTACACAAAAAAATTTACTGAATGATAAGGTTCTAATGTAAATAAGAAATTTGGTAATGATATTCCTTCAAACAACATTTTTGAAATGAAAAATCTTTTGACCATAAACAATTGGGTAAAAACATACGATTAAAATCATGATATATGAATCTGAGAAAACTATAGATTTCGCAAAAATTTATCAAGATACATAAATCACACGATTATAACAGAATATAAAGTCATCAAATTCATACAAATTACCTATACCCTGGATACTATCCGGCTCAGAGTTAAACTTATATTTTTCCGATTCTTGATACCAATGTTCAATTAGGTCTTTGCCTTGATAAAAAAGAAACATACTGAAATTATTTAACAACATAAACCTAAATATATCTTTCTCTTAAGAAGTAAATTTCTTAATACAATTAAAAAGCTTATGTGAAATACCATACAATATATCATGATTATCAGAACTATGTGAACTATTAAGGCAATTCATTTCAAACAATCTGATCACAAATGTATTTGTTAAAAACATTCATATATGAGAAACAAAAGAATGTTGAAATGATATGAAACTCATCACGCTGGATAAGTAAAATATTATTACCAGGGTAAATTCAGAGTGAGAAAAAGCTGTCTTTGAACAAATAAAAGGAGTTTGAATTTTCGTTTGGCCAAGGTTCCAAAAAACTATAGATTATCCCCTAGACAATTTTTGTGCAAAACCAAAAAGGTTGAGTTAAGATCAATCATATAACCTGTTTCAACCAACTGTTTAGCAATAGACGACGATGGAGGTTTATCATCTGGTTCGATTATGTCATTTGATTTTATTAGTTTCTGTAGCCATTTCAGTAAATGTTGAAAAACCCCGAAATTGCAAATCACGGTTTCTCTTCCTCATGTATATGTAGCCACAAACTTACATGTGATTAGATTATTTCATTTATTTACTTAAACATATAAATATTGGAACAAAGGAGCACCATATTACATATGGGGTACACGATAAAAATGGTATTGTGAAGAGACAGAGAAAGTTGAGTATAATAAAAATGAATAGAAATTAGTATGTGAGAGTGAAGTAAGCATAATAATAATAAATATAGTTACTATTATTATTATTATTATTGTAAGAATGGCAGAAGCAGTTCAAAATTTGAAAAATTCCCATATTGTAATTTAAAACAACATATATAAGCGAACAATATTGTTTTCGAATAGATCGTCATTAGGCTTTACTCTAATCTACAGCAATATTTATATGCATATACGAAATCATTAAACCAATCAAGGTAGTTTATGAGTCAATGGTAACAATGGAATAGATTACATAAATAAACATAATATGTGAAAAGTACAAATTGATAGTGTGATGACAGGTGTACTAGTTTTGATAAGAATAATAAAGGCTTAAATCAACGTTACATAGAACGATGGAGCGATGGGTTCACCTCTGGTTTCTATCCTTACGAAATTTCTCCTCGCGAAACTAGAAACTGGACCTCTCAAAGATGCTATTGATAAGCTTCACTTCTACTGTCGTTACGTTGATGACACTTTCATTATTGTCGATCAGAACATTAGAAAAGAAGAGCTATTTAACAACAAACATCCAGCAATTAAATTTACATGTGAAGCGGAACTCGATAATAAACTACACTTCCCTGACGTTGTGTTAAACAGAAAATAAAATGGTTCTATCAGTAGAAGTGTGTTCAGAAAAAGCTCTTCATCAAACCAATACACACATTTCGTAAGCTTTGTACCCCTTCATCATAAGAGAAACTTAGTCAAATGTCTGGCAAATAGAACTATTGAAATATGCTCAGTCGATACAATTGATAAATAATTAGAACTCATACATAATATGTTGATTGAAATGGGTTATCTACAGGTTTTCCTGAAGAAACACTTGCGTGTAACGAGTAAGAAAATAGCGACACCAATGGCTACTAAGGAACCTCTCTTCTTGAGGCTGCAATTCAATGGAGATGTAGCTGGTGATGTACTACGTGATAGACTGATTAATGCAGTGAAGAAAACGTTTAATGCAGTCTGTGGTGGTCGGTATCCGATATAATCCTTAACTTCGTATACAGTTCGTCTTGCTAACCGTTCTATATAACGTCCCAACGGTATATTAATCAGAAGGCAAATACGAAGTGTTGATTACGTTTATTGCGAGACCACACACATATATCCAAAATTACAGATGCATTAACGAGCATTAAGAGTTGAGCCGAACAGCAAACAGGCAAGCGAGCGACTGAGCGAATATAAGTAATCAAGTACAATCAAACGAGCGAGAAAGCAGAGTCAGCCATATGAATAACATGGACATATATATAGCATGTGAAATGAATGAGTAATCGAATCGAATAATCAGTTAGTAGTAAGACTAGCAGAGTGAATAAATGAGTAGGCCGTAAGCAATATTCAAGCATGCATATTTCATACAAGCACAAAATAATAATAAGGGTACAATAAATTGTTATAGTGCGGATGACTTTGTCCGCTAAATAAGTTAGCAAAAAGGGCTTAACTGAGTTAAATGAGAATAAACTCATTTGCACGTGAGTCGCTATAAGTCACCTCTGTCTATGGTATTCGACCAGATCTATGGTGATTCCCTAACTAAAGGATTTATTTATTTATTTGGACACATGAATATTGGTACAGGGGAGCGCCAATATATATGCGCCACACAAAACAATGAAAATTCGAAAGGAATACAAAGAAAAAAAAAGCTAAGGAGCGCAACAAAAAAAAGAGAGAACAATAACGAAGAGATTGGTGTAAGGTAATGTGCTAGTAATCAGGGAACGCAAAGGTACAATCGGAAGAAACCTTTCAGGTAAGGGAGACACAACCACTTTTTATGAAAAAAGTAAACGAAGGTTACAGCAGGATCGCCACTGGCTTCTATTCTGAGCCATTCCTGATAACGTCTCTACCCACTGTGTAGCACCATCTCTCGGACCCCAGCCACGGAGTCGTGAAGGACCAACAGAAGCCAGTCCCGTGCAGCTTTCTTTCATACCACGACACCATTTCATACGCTGACTACCTCTCCGCTTTTTCCAACTAGTCCCAGAGTCACCAAATAATGCACGACGTGGAATTGTCTGGGACGACATTCGTAGAACATGACCAAGCCACCGAAGTCGATGTTTCAAGATGGTGACACCAATCGGATTATCATCTCTGTGCCCGAACATACGATGCCGAACCCCTGCATCACTAACATGGTGTTGCCACTGAATGTCAGCAATCCTTCGGAGACAGCGATGATCGAACACAGAGAGTCGTCTAACGTCCTCAACTCGGAGAGGCCAGGTTTCACAAGCATAGAGCAAAACTGCTTTCATCGACGCGTTGTAGATCCGACCTTTTACGGCCAGACTAACATCACGAAGGCGCCATAAATGGCCCAGATTGGCATAAGCCGCTCTGGCTTTCACTATTCGTGCATTGATCTCATCACTCACACCCCCACCAGCACTTATACAGCTACCCAGATACACAAACTTCTCGACTACTTCTATCTGTTCACCATCCAGGGTGAGTACAGGATTGGAATCCTGCCAGTCTTGTAGGAGTACTTTGCACTTCGAAGGTGCAAAGCACATACCATACCTACGGACACTGATTGCCAACTGATTAAGTGCGGATTGCATGCCTTGGGCATTATCGCACAGTAAGACAATATAGTCCGCATACTCAAAGTCGAGAAGTCTTTCTCCAGGCAACAGATCCACACCACCGTTACTTACATTCATCAGAGCTGTTTCCAGAATGTCATCGATGACAAAGTTGAAGAGGAATGGTGAGATTGGGCAACCCTGCCTAACCCCACTACTCGAATGGAACAATGGAGAGAGGTGGTTGTATGCCCTCACTCTGCCTGAGGTGTTTTTATACAGGGCTTTTAGGATGTTAATAAACTTCTCAGGCACACCCTTCTTCAATAGACAATCCCAGAGAACAGTCCTATCCAACGAATCGAAGTCAGCCCTGATGTCAAGAAACACTACGATTGTTGGCCTTTGAAAAGTATGGCGGTGTTCTAACATTTGGCGGAGGGTGAAGATATGATCAATACATCCTCGACCAGAACGAAACCCAGCCTGCTCATCGCGAGTCAATCTTTCTCGGGTTTTGAACAACCTACGAAGAATGACGGAAGCCAATAGCTTGGACGCAATCGGAAGTAAACTTATCCCCCGATAGTTGTTACAAGAACGACGTGAACCCTTTTTAAAGATAGGGACAACTGTCGACTCATTCCATGACGTTGGCACACTCTCTAGTTCCCAAACCTTTGTGAAGAACGTCGTCAATTCCTTAGTCAAAAAGTCACCACCATCTTTAAAAAGAGCCGGAGGTAAGTCATCTGGGCCAGGTGATTTGTATCGCTTCAAGAGTTGGAGTTCCTTGCGGACTTCCTCCTCGTTTGGTGGATCAGTCGTCACCGGCCATGGAGGGCAGGACAGTCTGACTGATGTTGCCTGAGCAGCAGGCCAGTTGAACTGCCCTTCGAAAAATTCTGCCCACCGTCCAAGACGTCGATGGATGTTAGTGATTGGCATCCCATCATCCTCGCAGATTGTTTCACTCACACCAGACTTCTTGCTGCCAGTGGCTCGGATGAGCTGGAAGAGCTTCCGGTAATTACCAGATGCAGCTGCTGCTTCCAGCTCATTAGCACGCTTCGACCACCAGGCTTCTCGGTCCTTACGCAAGCTTTGCCCGATTTCCTTACATAACATCCTTCGTTTATGGTCAAACTCACGGTCACCCGGAGTAGACCGACGGGCTTCAATGAGTTGTAAGGAACCAGAAGAAACCCAGTGCTTAAAAGCGGGACGTTTCGCAAACCCACAACTGACTGTTCCCGCCATTTTCATGGCGTCATGCAATTGCAACCAATGCTCATCTATACTTTTCGGTGGAGTGGTAGCTAGCCTAGAGGCTAGCTCGGTTCGATACTTACTTGCAACAGAAGTTGCAACCAGCTTGCTAACATCAATCCGTTGATGGCGTTCACTTCGTTGTCCACTGAAAAGTAAGGCAAGATTGGCGCAGACCAAGGCATGGTCAGAGTCCAGATAGGTACTCCAAAAGGAGCGGCAGTCTTTTACACAACCACGCCAGCGGTAGCTGATCGCGATGTGATCAATCTGAGTCCAGGCTTGGGATGCAGAGGGAGGACGCCAGGTGGCACATCGGCGATGACTGTGCCGAAAGTTAGTGCTAGCCAGAAACAGGTTGTGGTCTGTGCAAAGTTGCAGTAGACGGTCCCCGTTATCTGACCTGCGACCAACGAGTCCCCATCGGCCACCTAAACGACTCTCTTCTGTGCCTAGACGCCCGACCTGAACATTCAAGTCTCCGGCTAGTAATACAATATCTGTCGAACGCACTTTCTGGAGAAGAACAGATAATTGGTGGTAAAATTCATCCTTGATTGCATCCGGGCTGCAATCTGTCGGGGCATAGGCGGAGATGACGAAAAGACATCGTTTCTCACGCCGATTTCTTCTCAGTTTGATGGAACTTTCTAATCTAACAGCACATAACCGACTGTTAATGGGGATCCAATCGACTAGTGCTGCCTCAGCTCTAGCGCTTAGTGCGACACCAACGCCTGCAAGACCAGACGAAGATGCCACAGGGTCCCCGGATAAGCGCACGTAAAACAAGCTTTTTGAAGTGACAGATGTAGAGCGAATTTGCAGTACTTCGCTAGAGTCTTGAATACGGGTCTCGGATAGACAACAAACATCAATATTAAGACTTTCCAAAAACATAGCCAGCCCTATCTGTTGTCCGACCTGCATAAATGTGCGAACGTTGAAGGCAGCCAGTTTGAATGGCGCACGTGGTTTCAGAAAAACTGCTTCAGTACTCATATTCGATGGTAACATACAACTTTCAACCGGACAGTGACTCGAGAACGTTTAGATACAGTCGGATTTCCACCAAAGCCGAGCCGCTGTATAAGTATGAAAGAGGGTGAATAATGTGGGAAATAATAATAATAATAATAATAATAATAATAATAATAATAATAATAATAATAATAATAATGACGACAATAATAGTAATAATAATGGTATTAATAATGACAATAATAGTAATGATAATTATTTGAATCGATTGATTGTTTTTGTTTTTCGGAGCGATAAAAGTAGTTGCCAAAGACATAGAGTTCATCGTTTGTGTGTGGGCTGTGATACTGCCCGGGTGCCCAAACCGAAGCAGGTGGTTTTCTTAGGGGGCCACTCCCCGAGCCTTTGACCTAAAGGTCTAACCCACAAGGCAGTGGAGCATCGTAAGGAGATGCAATCCCATGGTAGCCGGTGACCAAGGATTGGTTCATACGCCATTTGTTCCCGCAGGATACTGGAGCCCATGTGCACCATTGGTTTGTGATCCGGTTAAAGCGCCGGACATTCGCTTTTCGTCCTCTCATTTTTGTAAACAATACCCCCGCTACGAGAAGGCAATGAGTAGGACTTCCCTGGCAGAGGCTGTATACGCGCGGCCGTGTGAGAGTATTTCGAGAGGGAGAGCGGACTCACCCCACTCTCGGCCGTACCAGGGCATTCGGGGGCTACCTCGTTACGCCAATTCTATGTGCATCTACGAATTCAGCTGCGCCTGTGGAGAAAGCTATATTGGGCGCACTACCGGACAACTGGACCAAACAGGTAGTGAACACCTCCCTTCGTGGTTAGGAATAGGTACTGTCAAGACAATACGCAGCTTGGTTCTACCACACTTGGTCGATATCGGTCATGCAGTAAACAGAAACATGCCATTTAAAGTTCTTTATCGTATTCCTACTAGTTTTCCTTATGGTGTTCGATCTTATCTCTTACACATAGCAGAAGCTATAGGAATTCGAGCCAACAATCCAAGTCTTTTTGTTCATAAGAAATTTGTAACACACTTAGCCTTAATAAATGATTTTATCTATTTTCCATGCTCTTCGTTTATTTTTCTTCACAACCTCCCACCCTTTTCTTTTCTCAAATATACGCTTCACGGTCCAGTTATCTGAACACCTCCTATTATGTAATCTTGAATCCTTTCTATGAAAATTATTTCAGTGTCTACATTTCTCTAATCATTGACCTATTTCCGCTTATGTAACATTGGTTTAAGCCTTTATTATTAATATCAAAACTAGTACACCTGTCAATAGACAATCCAAAAGAACAGTCCTATTCAACAAATTGAAAGCGACCCTGATGTTAAAATGATTTGAAACGCATAGCACTAATAGATCACATAGTTTTGATAATCTTCGTCTTGATATTACACTACTTAAATTTATCAAAGGCACTAATTATTTTAAATATCTTATGATCACTTCTATTACGAAAAATGTGTTAGCCTTTTTCCTAGTCAAAAGTGACCACAACTCTTCACTACTATGTGATATCTTAAAGTTTAAAGGTCTTGCAAGTGGGATGGATGGTTTATATTATGTTTTATAAATCTGTATTTTAAAAAAGAAAGATTAGTTCAGCGAAGAGTTCTCTTTTCGGCGAATTCATTTTCAAAGCCGTACAATTGCAAATGTATATACTTATTTTTACAGGGTGATAATAATACTGATAATAAACTTATGTTATACATGGTGACAGTGAGTTTAAATAAACAAAGGTATTTTTAAAAAAAAATTAAAAAAACAAGGAAAGTTTGATAGTTAATGGCTTCTAGTATTCCTTGTTTTTTAAATTTTTTTTTCTAATACCTTTGTTTATTTAACGTCACTGTCACCATGTATAACAGAAGTTTATTATCAGTATCACCCTGTAAAAATAAGTATATACATTTGCGATTGTACGGCTTTGAAAATGAATTCGCCGAAAAGAGAACTCTTCGCTGAACTAATCTTTCTTTCTTATTTAATGTCATAATGGGTGTATTTTAAAAAACAGTTTTTGCTATAAACCGATATTAGCTAGAGAACCACTAAAAATAAAAAATGTACTAGAGGGCTAATTCGTCAAAATATGGGACTAGTACCACTCAACAGTAAGCACATATTACCTCATATTGAACCAAACTGAGAATCTTGGAACCTCACAAAAAGGACAATACGCCCAAAAAACATATCCAACCTCGATCGATTCGTAAAACAACACAATTCTTATCCATTGCCAGTAGTGAGTTGGCATCTTGCGCTTGACATGGTTAATCCCATAAATGGTAGGGAGTTGATGACTTAGAAACCAAAAATTTAGGTCACTAGTTGGTGAGGTAGAATTTTCTTACTGAATATTTTGATTCATAACGTTACGTGGTTGAAATAATCCTATTGGACAATTCACCAATTAACACAAATCATTCAATTACTTTCTTATTGTAATTTATAGGTCATTAAGAAAATACATTGAAAGTAATACATTTGATAGACAGTAATTTTTCAAAATCACAGGCTAGACTGTCTTATAACCCGCATCCAAGTCAGATATGATGCACTGTGGGATTAGTAATCATGTTTATTCTCGATTCGTACGCTATTAGCACAAAATTCACTTACATTATCCTTTCGTTCGGTCATAACAATACTTCACATCCTATCGATGGGACTTTCAGAAGTCCGTTTGAAAGCTAATCATAAGTGAGAACAGTTATACTTACAGGAAGTGATCTCATTAAACCAGTGCCATTTATTTGTGTACATAACAGAAGACAATATGGGATGTGCATATGAAAACGATGAAAAGTTTAAAAACCAATTTTACTTACAATTATGTTCCATTGGTCCATTTGACCAGCGACTTCCCAAATTTTCACCGACTTTCATACCACGATATACATATCCACTATTGGACAAATGAGATTGTTGAAGCAAATGATCAGCCCATTGTTGTGCCATATTAGAAAGATCCTATCACAGAACAGGGAATGTGTGAAACTTCAGAATAAGAAATTTATAAGTGTAGATACTATTTCACTGTTTAACGAATCTCAAGATGCAACTAAGATATGATCAGGGAAGAAACGAAAATGGAATAAAATGACCTTTATTTTTTACGGTTTATGTTACTCAGTGACGGTTAATTCAATTCCAAAAATAACGCTCGGATTTTGAGATATACGGTGATTGGGGTGGGAAGGGAAAATAATATGACCTTCTTGATTGGATATTTATACCTATCAAACTTGTGTTCACAATACAGAATTTCGAAATCGAAACCAAGTATTTATTATTCATTAAATTTTTGTAATAGGTAGTAAACTATTTTGAGTAAACTACGGTGTCTTTCCAAATAAGAACATAAAACGATAGCTGACTCACCGAGATAAACTGATATTATTTTATCACGTACTTAACAAGCGCTATTTAGCATAAAATGAAAAACTTTACCACACATAACAAAGCGAAGACAAATACTACTATGTTCGAATCCAAGTTATATCTGATAAAATATCGAACGAATTAACTGTATGGTCTTAACGACTAGATTTGAGGAGTTAGGATGGACCAACAAATTTGAACCCGATACAATCAACTGGTTATTCCCTTACTTCTGTTATTCAATTTTCGAGGCAAAACCAGTCTTAAATGTGAAAAATCCAGGGTGGTACATGCAAACTGAGACTAAGATATAAAGAAAGGTGTTTATAATAGCTCTATTTATTAGGAAACAAAATGTATCATAAGAATTACGTACCTTCAAGTGAAGCCCGGTTTTACAAAGACAGGAATAAAATTATACATATTGAAGCATCTAACGTCTGATAATTTTCATTCAAGTTAACTTGTGGAGGCGTCAATGACGATTCGGACTGGCACATTATGCCTTGAGTTTTGTTGATAGAAGAGTGATTTCGTCTGTCACACTTCCATTAAAGTTCGCATGACTTCCAAGGCATGCAAAACTTTTAGATACTTTCGTCAGCTTACCACTAAGTTTGAAAATAGACACCTTAAAACCCAGTGAAGTGAAGGAAGCCGAGTATCCTAATTAGAGATTATAATTACCATATGTTTTAATGAGATTTAGTTAGCCTTTATGTTATTATAAAGCGAGACTTTATAAACTATGTAACGCAGCTCATAATGCCCTCCGAACAGAGATTTACATCACCACTACACGCTTCAAGAGCTATTCTTGTGTCGCATATATTATAGATCACTTACTTGTGCCTGTTAACCGTCGTTGAGGTGCATAAACCACCCACCAGCATTCTCCATCTAAAACCGTCTTGAGCAATGCTTTCTAGTTGCTATTTATCCTTTTCATGTCTGCTTTCAATTCTCGACGCAGTATGTTCTTTGGTTTTCCGTTTCCCTCCAGGATTACAAGTTAGCGCTTGCTTCGTGATCCAGTTTGGTGATTTCCGTAACGTATGCCCTATCAACTTACAAAGACTTTTCCCGATTTCCTCTTGAGCTGGTAGCTAGTTTGTTCTGTTCCATAGTAGGTTGTTGCTAGTGGTACCCGGTCAATGGACATTTAGTATCTTACATAGACAACTGTTTATACATACTTGTACATGTTTGATGATGGTTGTGTTAGTTCTACTAGTTTCACCACCTTGCAGTAAAACTGTCTTGACTTTCGTATTGAAGATCCTGACCTTGATATTGGTTGACAGTTGGTTTGAGTCCCATATGTTCTTCAACTGTAGGAATGTTGTCCTTGCTTGGCCAATCTTTGCTTTTACGTCTGCATCAGATCCTCCTTGTTCATCGATGATGCTACTCAGATACGTGAAAGTTTCCACCTCTTCCAAGGTTTCTCCATCAAATGTGATTGGGTTGGTGTTCTCCGTGTTTCAATTGAGGAACTTGCTTTTTCCTTTGTGTATATGGAGGCCTACTGATGCAAAGGATTCTGCCACTATTTGTCTTGACCTGAATTTGTTGGTGTGTATGGGATAGAAGGTTTAGGTCATATGAGAAGTCCGAATCGTCTATTTGCATCCAACCTGTCCATTATATTCTGTGTCCCTCCTCAGGTGTGGAGGTCTTCATAACCCAGCCAGCCACCAGAAGAAATAGAAAAGGGAGGAGTAAGCAGCATTGTTTGACTCCGGTCCTCACTTGGAATATATATATATACGAAATTGAGAGGACGAAAAGCGAATGTCCGGCGCTTTAACCGGATCGGTGGACATGAAGAGTCCACATAGGGGAGTTGCAAAACCCTGATTCCAAATCAATGGTGCACATGGGCTCCAGTATCCTGAAGGAACAAATGGCGCATGAACCAATCGTTGGTCACTGGCTACCATGAGACTGCATCTCCTTACGATGCTCCACTGCCTTGTGGATCAAACCTTCAGGTCGAAGGCTCTGGGTGTGGCCCCCTAAGAAAACCACCTGCTTCGGTTTGGGTACCCGGGCAGTATCACAGCCCCCACACATATCAAATGAGATTTTTGTGGCCTCCTTTTGGTGCCTCCTTGTACCAATATCTATGTGTTCAAATAAATAAATAAATAGATGTGTAGTTTGCTACTTTCACGTCAACTTATACACGACCATTCTACGAAACAAACTTGGGACATTCACATCTCGCAGAAAGTAAGGATGACATAGTTATCCACCAACAGTAATGAATGATTATTGTGTTATATTATGAATTGACTGAATTTTGAAATATGAACCAGTTGATTCCAGTTCAATGGTATAAAGTCCACATATCAATAGCAAGACCTAACAAAATTTTGAGTATTCTTTTTGTTTACAATTACTTCTTTTAGAGATTACAAGTGAATAGTAAATATCATATATTAATTATTCAGTAAAAAAAGTAGAAAATGAAAACTATATTAACCTACTTGATCAAGTACTAGAGGATTGGAACCATGTTGACTACGATATTGATTATGAAGTTGAACAACTGAGTGAATGGATTCTCGGAGTTTCTTACTATTATCCTGTATAGTATGGAAAGTTATTTATAACAGAATAATGTTATAAAGTCGTCCTAATACTAGTTTCATATAACTGTTATGTGTGCAAGGCATAGATTAACCCGATTAAGTAAAAATAACTGATAGAGTCTTAGAATGATGAGATCTTATGAAAACCTAACAAAAAAACAATAACGGAGACCAAGAAATTAATGTATTTACACATATGAGCAGCTTACAGTACACTGGGAAATTACTATTATTACTCCTAATATTACATAATTCTCATTATACAGGAAAGTACTTAACACAATAGTACAACTGGATATGCTTCACGTGAAATGAGATAACATTGTTGAGAAATAAAAGTGAGAAAGGTCAGACAATAAATAAATAAATAAATAGGTATATTACTGATAAAAAATATACAGTTGGAATCAGACCATAAGATAGACTTCAATTAATTAGAAGAGGCAATTCACTAATTATGATGAACACGATAGAGAGTCATGGAAAGATCGCCAGTGTACTCAATTATGAGTCATTTCTGATACTGTCTCAATCCACTAGATTGCATAAAGAATAAGGACCAGACAGATGGCTAAAAATCAAACAGAGAGACGTGTACTTGTTAACTGGGTGGATATTATCAATAGTTTTCCACGATAAACTGTTTCCTGTAATTAACCAGGTATTCTTACTGATGAGAGAGCTTCACATTTGACACACCTCTCAAGTGGACCATTTATCCTATAAAAATACTGTAAAAGTCGTTATTTATAAGGGCATTTAATAATATCATCAACATCAAGATAATAATGGTTTTGCAAAAATTAGATTAGCCATCCCGCAACTTTAGTGAAGTACTTATCAAATACTATAAGTTCAAGTTGCTTTTTAATCATCTTTTTTGTCATAAAGTATGATAAAGATGGATGTTTTAAAGCCGTCACATACTGCAATGACACTTCTTCTATTAAACTGACCATATTATCACTTTTGAGTCGGCAATAAACCACAATCTAACTGATTTACAATACCGAAATACTTTCCACCATGGAATAGTCCTAGCTGAGTGAGTTTTACAAAGCAATAAAGTACTTAATAGATGTTTCATCCCATTTCCTTAGACTACTCAGTAGAACAGATTCATGATTTTACAGGGAATCAAACTCAAGATCTTTAAGCCTCAAGGCACGCGTACTATATCCAAACTACTGGTTGCGAATCTAGCAGTAAACACCATCAACTTCATAATCTGTGAAAATAGCCAGTAAAACAGGCAAAATTATCGAAACACGAACAATAGGGAAGAAATGTTGTTTTTTTAATAATTTAATTACTACTAACTTAACTGTAGTAAAAATAGAATATTGTAAAAAAAATTTAAAACTCACAACTAAATGGCCGTCTGGTGAAATACTTGATTCCGCTTTTTTCTGGTCTTTACAGGCATCTGTATACACTTCGTTGACACATCGCCTTGTCTACATTAAAAGAAATGGACTCTTTAATACTTGTTTAAATTCAAGAGTTACAAAAGTTGTTATTAATGACCACATGCGACTAGGAAAAAATAAAGTGAAGGATGCAACACATAAAGTTAGAGAAGTGAAATGTAAGGGAATTAACGTTGTAAAATTGTTTAACAAGTTTATTAATGGTGGAATAGAAATATAACAATATTGAAAAACATTACTATTTCAAAAGTCAATCCGCTGACTAATTTAAGAAACTAGTTCATTATTTGCTCATTAATGTGCATCGATCAGTTTACCTGCTCATATGAAGCGGACTTTATTAACCGCACAAAGAGAGCTGTTTCATAGCACAGCTCTGAATATTATATTGCCTGGCTTTCTAAAGGACTACAAAAGTCAACCTAAAACTTAATCCTGGAAGATCTAGTTAGTTCTGGTCACTCTGCTTCACCAGAATCCCCCCTCAAAATTATTCAAACAGCCAAAAGAATCGGCTCAGAAAGAATATAAATAATATAAAAAACAATGTACAGCAGAGGCTATAGCTATCCAGATTCAAACGTCACATTTGTTTATAAAAACAGTATGTTCAATCACTCATCCTACCATAGTCTTAACCTTTCTTTTTGTCTTCCACAATTCATCGCTTTTTTCTACTTTCTAATTATTTTTTACAACCTAATTAACCATTACTACAACTTACGACTATTTTGCTCTTAATAACTATCAAATGGAAAAATTTCCTTAGCTGATGGAGGATGTTACTACATAACTTTTTTTTCAATACATGACCTTTGTAAAAAATTTGTGACATAATGCCACTTTAAGTTTCTTTTTGTACAATACTAACCTATTTTGTTATAGACTGTTATTTTTGGCAAAAAAAATAACTATAAATACGATTGTGAATGAAATCGTTAAGAAGATTTTCCTTTGCTGAATTATCTCTATTCCTTTTCAATAACACAATGAATCTCTCTCTCTCTCTCTCAACGTAAATTGTGTTAATGACATTTTCAATTGATCAGGCAAAAATTTACATTGGTCTACATTGACACATTTCAAACAAGGGGTTAACAGTATGATAAGCATAGAATTCGGAATAATAACAGATTATGCTATGCGAAACCACTACTAAAAAGTTGACTAAATGGCTGGGATATTTCGCTCTCTTGATTTAAAAATAGCTAGGTATTGTACGCAAGGAGATACTACCTAAGATTTCATAAATAGATGCTTTGAGGTTCTAACTGACTGACACTACACGCATAAAAGCAATAAATGTTCATAACACTACCCATTAACTGACCCATTGTTTTGAACTGAACGCTTACATAAGAACATAAAAGAACTAATCCTAGGGTCAAAACAACAGAAGAAATATTCCATTTTTTACCTAATCTGACTAAATACAATTTTTCATTCTAAAAAGAAACAAAAAATATTCAACTTATTGATTATACTAGCGACTCGTAATTTACAAAGGCTGTCTGTCAATTGGCTGTAACATTCCATTACTTGAACTAGTAAATATTATAAACATAACCGCAAGTAAATAATATCGTCTAAACAAAAACACAAGGTTAACAATGTTACTAGAAAAGAGTAAAAGATTATTGCATATCTCTTGTACAACAATCTAGATGATTAAATCATGTTTGGAACGTTAGTATTACAACGACAAAGAAAAAACTACACTTGAATCTAGTATCTGATCCATAGTTTTGATGTACCTGTGCGTAGTAATACTTAACAATCCCCTACACCATACCAACGGTGGACTTATTTAGACCATATTACCATCAGTCATCGTTAGAGAAGCCCGACAGACGACTGCCACTCGTTCTGAAATGTATGGTTAAACTCTAATCATGCTCTAATACAAGCATGCATTTGCTTGCATCTCACTGCGCCCAGGAAAGCCATATTAAGAAGACCCATTATAGTTAAACTCAGTGGTGAAAAAGCCGAAGGTAAAATCTAGGGAAAACTGAAGTCATACTTTGGTCATTTTGAGAACGAGGCTGACCCAGATGTTGTCTGGAAAGATATACAAACAGCCATGCAAACACCAGCGACACCTGTTAGTGATTTGAACCTAAGGGTCACGAAAAACCAAGCTGGCTTCAGACCTGGTCGTGGCTGCATCGACCACATATTCACCATTCGTCAGGTTCTAGAACACAGGCATACTTATCCACGTCCGACAATGGTGGTCTTTCTTGACTTAAAAGCAGCATTTGACTCGGTAGACCGCGAGATTCCGTGGCAGTGTCTGTCATTGAAAGGCGTACCCCAGAAGTACATAAACCTTGTGAAGGCTCTTTACTCGAACACTACTAGTCGAGTCAGAGCTTATGGCGAACTGTCATCTACTTTTGCAACCTCAAGTGGTGTCCGTCAAGGCTGTCCACTTTCTCCATTTCTGTTTAACTTCATCATAGACCTACTGATGGAAATAACATTCTCGTCGACTGAATTCTCGGGTATTGATCTCCTACCAGGAGGTCCACTTATCGACTTAGAATACGCAGATGATATAGTCCTGTTTGGTGAAGACGCTGACAAAATGCAGAGTCTTTTGGTAGCACTAGGCAACAATGCCAGAATGTTTGGAATGCGCTTCTCTCCCTCTAAATGCAAGCTGCTGCTTCCGGACTGGCCTGCGTCAACACCTGAACTAAAGATAGGGAGTGAAGTAGTCGAACGCGTCGACAACTTCACTTATCTTGGAAGTCTGATCAGTCCTAATGGGCTGGTATCGGACGAAATCTCAGCACGGATTCGAAAAGCTCGTTTGGCTTTTGCCAACTTACGTCACCTTTGGCGAAGGCAAGATATCCGTCTATCAATAAAAGAACGAGTATACTGCGCGGCAGTCCGTTCTGTCTTACTTTACGGCAGCGAAACATGGCCTTTAAGAGTAGAAGACACCCGTAAGCTACAAGTATTTGACCACAGATGCCTTAGAAATATTGCTGGCATCTGCTGAGATCACCGGACAAGTAATAGTGAGGTTAGGTGCAGAGTATTAGGGAATAATGGTAAATCAGTTGATGAGGTTGTGAATCTTCACCAACTGAGATGGTTGGGTTACGTGTCACATATGCCTGAACACCGATTACCACGACGCGCAATCCTAACCGATGTTCAAAGTGATAGTAAAATATATTGCTTGCTATTTTCTTCAGACTCCTCATCTTAGTTATAACTTCGATGAAATAAAGGTTAGGACACGACAAGATTAATGGAAGAAAATCAGAAATAAACTTAGGAAACGTTAAGCAACATAAATGAAGAAGATAATGGTACCTTTCCTTTATCATCAGTCAATTCAGAGATCTCTCTTCGAACATTGTACTGTTTCCCATCACTTTCTGTCAGTGTTTCAGTAATAACTGTCTTCGGAGTATCTGAGGAGGAAAAATATGGTGGTTCGATAAAAACAAAAGTATTCAACTAGTAAGTAATATCCCTAAAGCTACTTTTTAAACTTATTAAAATATAAACAACTCAGTAAATCACATTGTCAGTCATGGTTAATAGAGAACCTGGGAAAAGTCTGTTTCCACACTTTATATCAACCCAGTAAGACAGAGAATTAACAAGATGAAAATAAAGAAAGTGAGTTTAACTACTCCCTGTGACCCAATTTTACATATTATTCAACTTTTCCAACAATCGACTACAAGTATTGCGTGGCCCCTAGCCAAGAAATATACACCGAGAAACATAACTTAAACTGTGAATCGATGACTTCATGGATTGACATAATATCTTGATTTACCCACCCTTGGCTCTCATCTTACCTTCTCTTATACCAACTTGAAATGCACATCCGAGTAGGCATTGGTTGTACACGAGTAAGATACATTTTAACCCCCTCAGTCGATGAGGGTTTATATCTTAATTAAAAAACTTTCTCTTTTTATTTAGTACTCTAAGTTTAATTGTACTATTTTTCGCTTGATGGTTCCGCTGCATGTGACCGGTACTACGAAGATACCTGTGGTAAAACATTTGCAGACAACACATAGACTCATCGAATAAGCAAGCTATAAGTCTCAATTCAGCATGACAAGTAACATGAGTAACAGTTCTTGATTATTAGAAATAATGGAAGCCCTGAGGCCGTTTGAATGTCAATACTTAGAGTTGAGCAAACGGATCAGTCAGTCAGTCAGCTACAACGTAGGACCAGGCACATATATTCATCGGTCCAGGTTGCCATACCTTATTAACACAGCAAGATGAACACCGGATTCATAGGAGTGGTTAGGTCAAACGTGGTCATATATAGGAGAAAGATTGCATATAAGGATACAGTACAGGAAGAAAGTATTAGTTAGTAGAAAGAAAGATATGAAGTGATTCTAATCTCTTAGTTTAAAGGAAGACAGGGAGTGTATCCACCAACGCCATTGAGATCGATTCTGAGCCATGTCACCAAGAGTCTCCAACAATCGGTTACGAAATTCACGCGGACCCCAACCAAGTAGTCTGCATCTACCAACATGGCTCAGACTAGAGGTTGGTGTCTTCAAGCACTGATGCCACGTTTTGGTTTGGCCGCCCCTAATTCTCTTCCAACCATTTCTAACACCCGTTAGCATTGCACGACGTGATAGTCGGTATTCAGACATACGTGACACGTAACCCAACCATCTCAGTTGGTGAAGATTCACAACCTCATCAACTGATTTACCATTATTCCCTAATACTCTGCACCTAACCTCACTATTACTTGTCCGGTGATCTCAGCAGATGCCAGCAATATTTCTAAGGCATCTGTGGTCAAATACTTGTAGCTTACGGGTGTCTTCTACTCTTAAAGGCCATGTTTCGCTGCCGTAAAGTAAGACAGAACGGACTGCCGCGCAGTATACTCGTTCTTTTATTGATAGACGGATATCTTGCCTTCGCCAAAGGTGACGTAAGTTGGCAAAAGCCAAACGAGCTTTTCGAATCCGTGCTGAGATTTCGTCCGATACCAGCCCATTAGGACTGATCAGACTTCCAAGATAAGTGAAGTTGTCGACGCGTTCGACTACTTCACTCCCTATCTTTAGTTCAGGTGTTGACGCAGGCCAGTCCGGAAGCAGCAGCTTGCATTTAGAGGGAGAGAAGCGCATTCCAAACATTCTGGCATTGTTGCCTAGTGCTACCAAAAGACTCTGCATTTTGTCAGCGTCTTCACCAAACAGGACTATATCATCTGCGTATTCTAAGTCGATAAGTGGACCTCCTGGTAGGAGATCAATACCCGAGAATTCAGTCGACGAGAATGTTATTTCCATCAGTAGGTCTATGATGAAGTTAAACAGAAATGGAGAAAGTGGACAGCCTTGACGGACACCACTTGAGGTTGCAAAAGTAGATGACAGTTCGCCATAAGCTCTGACTCGACTAGTAGTGTTCGAGTAAAGAGCCTTCACAAGGTTTATGTACTTCTGGGGTACGCCTTTCAATGACAGACACTGCCACGGAATCTCGCGGTCTACCGAGTCAAATGCTGCTTTTAAGTCAAGAAAGACCACCATTGTCGGACGTCGATAAGTATGCCTGTGTTCTAGAACCTGACGAATGGTGAATATGTGGTCGATGCAGCCACGACCAGGTCTGAAGCCAGCTTGGTTCTCTCGTGTTTGCAGTTAACGAGTGTTAGTTAGGCGTCTGATAATTATTGAGGCTAGTATTTTAGATCCTATGTTAGTCAAACTAATCCCTCTGTGGTTGTGGCTGGATGATTTTGACCTTTTCTTATATATCGGGACAATATGTGATTGTGACCAGTCAGATGGGATTACGCCCAACTCCCAGATTTTAGCTAAAATATTCGTCAACCTAATCGCTGAAATTGGACCTCCATCCTTAAAGACCTCTGGAGTTAATCCATCTGAACCAGTTGCTCTTCCTCGTTTCAGATTAGCTATGGCTTTTTGAACTTCAGTTAGAGTCGGGGGAGGGCTACTTCAATATTCTATTCAGGCTGTTTGGGAATGCTGGGTGGCTGTAAAGTTGCTGAAGGCCAGCTACCCTGCTCTCTAAAGTGTTCCTCTCATCGTTCCAAACGTCTGGGCTGAGAGCAGATAAGTGTCGTCTTTTCCCGATATAGTTTCACTTACACTTGGCTTATTAGTTCCAGTTTCTTTTATTAGTCTGTAGAGCTGTCTTGTGTTCCCTATAGTCGCCGCCTTTTCCATCTTTTTTGCTTTCGTTGCCCACCACTGCTCACGGTCGTTCTGTAGACTTTTGGTTAGCCTAGGTCTGATTTGTTGTCGCTCTTCATCATGTTCGGAACGTGATGGGACGAGTTTGCGAGAATCCATCAGTGTGATAGACTTTGAAGAAATTCACTGGTTCTTTGTAACCCTGTGGTTTAAGTCACTAATAGATTTCATTGCTGTTTCCACAGCTGTTTGTTTATATCTCCAAGCAACATTTGGGTCAGCCTCGTTTTCAGAACTACCTAAGTGTGACCTCAGTTGTTCCTGAAACCTACCTTTGGTTTTCTCGTAACTCAACTCAGTTCTAATTGGTTTTTTTAATGTGGCTTTTTTGCGTCCAGTGAGGCACAAGCAGATGCGTGCTCGTATTAGGGCATGGTCGGAGTCCAAGCAGGTACTCCAGAATGAGCGATAATCTTCTACCGACCCTCTCCAACGATGACTGATGGCAATATGGTCTATTTGAGTCCATCGTTGGTTTGGTGTAGGGGGTCGCCATGTTAGACGATGTCTTTCCTTATGCTTAAACTTTGTGTTTGCTAAACACAAACGATTATCTGAGCACAGTTGCAGCAGACTATCACCATTATCTGTTCGCTGTCCCGGTATACTAAAATATCCCCCTAAATGCCTTTCTGTTTGGTTTAAACTACCTATCTGGGCATTAAAGTCACCTGCTACAAGTACTATGTCTGAACGTTTAGCTTTCTGAAGAAGTTTGGATAGCTTTCTGTAAAATTCATCTTTCACTTCATCTGAGCTGCAGTTGGTGGGAGCGTAGGCAGAAACGACAAAAAGGCAACGACGTGTTTCCTTATCCTTCCGAGATCTTGCTGAGCCGTTTAGCCGGACAGCACATAGACGACTGTTGACGGGGATCCCCTCTAACAGTGCTTGTTCCGCCCTCATGCTTAGTGCTATGCCTACACCTGCCAGTCCACGAGAACTGGCCATCGGGTCACCAGATACACGGAGGGTGTATCTCGTTGGCCCTCCGTTTTGCCGAGGTGAGGTCAAGTGAATGACCACAATGGAATCCTGTATGCGTGTTTCGGAGACACAGCATACATCAATGGTACGAGATTCTAGGGTTTTAGCCAAGGAAACCCGCTGACCGATTTGACATAGGGTGCGTACATTGAAGGCTCCAATGTGTAGTGTGGAGCAAGGTTTCAGTAGACCTGTGACAGTGTTTTGAGCACTAGGATCGTTGGCTATGGTGACACTTGAGGGAGAAGCCGAAAAAAGAAGTTTAGAGTTTGAAGTTGATGTAGGAGGAATAACAGGAATCGAAGAGGGAGGTTGATTATGAATACAGTGGTCTTGAGTGCTGTTAGAGGTATGAGGGCGGTTATCACTTCCCGGTTGCCCACACCGTGGAAGGGTTCTTCTGGAGGTACCTGAAAAGGAAATTGGATTAGAAGTGGTCTTAGTGACCTGGGAGCGTGACCGCAGTGCCCAAGAGACAACTGCTTGAGGTCGGTCACACACCTTTTTATGGGCAATTTTTGTGTTAGCTCCGTACTTGTTGAGACCTTACCACCGGAGACGGATATCCGTGGAATAAGGCGAGGTGTGCATTTTTAGGGTCGACCTTTTCTAACCCCACCCCTCCTTGTGGGAAGGCAGCATCGCTGTCATGCTGGTTGTCTGAAGGAAACACCTTACTGCTGTCACACCTCTGTACAGTCAGCAGTACGACTTCGCCTTCGGACCTTGGGTTTGTTGCTTTTATTCTTACCGCTCTTCAACCGACCTGTCTGGCATGGTAGGACCTTGGTGAACGGTTGTTCCAGCCAGTATAGCTCGGTTGCTTCATCACGATAGGCAAGCCCGACCACCACGTCAAGGTAGCAACAACGGTCACTAGCTTGTTGACAAAGTCTTTGACGTAGCCTCGCAGAATCTGAGTGTTCATTGGTGATAAAGAATATTTTCCTTTTATGATAATGATATCTGCCTGATGAATGTCGGAAGGAGCAAAACTCCACTACAACGTTTTATGTTGAAATGAAAAAATTCAGAGAAAATACTTACCATTATTTAAAGCAAACGTGTTACGTATTGGTTGTTTAACGCCCTCCTTCACTAATTCTTTTGGACGAAAAACATTCTCTAGGTAACGACCAAGTACATTTCCTGGAGGACGATAGTGGGCTACAACGACACATTTTCCAGGACCACAGGCTTTGCCGAAGCCAACTTCACGAGTTGAACTCCATACCAGTTGTGTAAAGTTACCTATAATGTAGGAAATACTTGGCTGTTTATGTAAGCGAAGAAAAGTATGACGTGAAGATTATTGGAATAAGACTAGGCTCAAAGTTAACTTAAGTATTCACAAAAATTACGGTATGTAACTAACCTGCAGGTCCTTTACCGTTTTCATAATTATAATTTTCGGCATCTGAATGCCACGTATTTACGACTTCATGACCTAGACAGTTTATAGTTGAAACATAAATGATAACCTTGCATATCCACATGAGTTCCTGTGCTTGTGCGTACACTGATACTTTCACCAACTTCACCTCGACTGGAAAGTGGACTATTTTTTATCCCATCTTCCAACAATAGTGCTTCGGCCCAATCCTGGGCTGTTTTATCTAAAGCGAGACTATGTCGTAAGGCACATACACCATGAAGAAGTCTTTTTTCATTATGTGCTCTGAAACAATCTTCTCTAAAGTCATCTAAGCGACTCATCTATAGAGAAACATCAAGATAAATTCACATCTATAGAGAGCGTATGAAAGATTACCCACTTTACATAGCTTTACTAATATCTTTCGTTTACTTATATTACCAAGACAGTTTAGAATAACAGAGTAATGTTTTGGCAATAAGAATTACGATAGTGCAATGCTTAATCAAACCCAATGACCATAAATTATAAATGGCTAGGCTACAAGATCATATCACTTTTCAGTGATAAAATTATTTCTAGTGACAACACTACCAAAGCGGTTTGATCAGGAAACTAGCTTATCATGATGAAGATATTATGGAAAATGAAATGGAACACTTATTATTTGCTATCCTATTTCAGTTCGGTCAGTTTGGGAGTGCTGATGGAATGCAGTAAATTCCAAGTCTACGGTCGAGGTTTTGCTGCTAATCGCACTATATTGTGAAAAATTAGGTGTTTTTCACAAACAAACATCACCATCAGTAATGTCATTTTCCGAACGTTGTGAAATACACTTCATTTAAAACAACCCAACTGTACCTATTGTGATATTTATCATGGTAACTCAAAAACAATGTACATATATGTGAACTCAATATACAAAAAGGCCATGACGGATCAGACTCGAACAGTTGTCTATCAGGCTTTGCACAAATGAATACAGGTCTACGAAACAAAAAATACTGACCCAACTAAATGTTTAACTTACACAAATAAAAAGCTATTAATCGCCTAGTGAGCCACCACGAATTGATAACAGTGTGCATACCTTTAATCATTTTGAATGTTAATTGTAGCGTTAAACGTGGTGTCGTCTAGTTTCTATTTCCGTTACTAACCTTACCCATTAGCTTCATCTTCGTATGTACAACCGCACCTTATGGGTTGTTATTCGCAGCCCCCTGAAAACCTGCTTTTGGTGTTTGAGCCTTATGTTAAACGACTTCAGTTACTAAAACTTACAAATTATAAACCGCTATGTCTCCAAAAAAGGCACGGATTGAGTACACATGGTCAGTAAATCAACATCTAGCCAATGATGAATGCTAGAACAATTTATACACCAAACTCCACAAAAGCTTCTCATAATCATGCAGATATACATAAAGCAATAAGAGCAATTTTCAACTGAATTTCAGCTGAAAGTAACGCGTGCTGAGTATTAGGAATGGTATATCGAAAATTCGAAAGGTGATGATATCCACTACTGTTTAAAGTTGTAACTGAAACAAACAATACAGCAGATGAGCAGATTATATCACTTCAAATTATCGATACAGAAAAGCGAAACATACACTAGCCTTCCAAGAGAGAATACATAGACTTCAGTCACCATTTTGCTTATTATTGACTTCGTGCACACATAAACCACAATGAAGAAGAAAATACAGTATAAGTACTACTCAGAAAATGCAGGACAGATAGTTCGGACAATACTTAATGGACAAACTAAAAAAATACTTCGCAGGCAAAATGGAACAGAACACTGGCAACCTAATTATTTATACGCAATGGAAGATCTCTGAACTGACTATCAGCTATTAAGTCACTAATCTTCGTTAGCATTTGTGTCGTACTCACAACGTAAGTATGAAAATGAGAAATACAATTCGTGGTTGCCAAGCAAGTAAGGACACACATCTGAATGATACAAGTGCTAAACTAATTTTTCTAAGAAAGCTTATATTTTAGAAAAGTTTTTCATGAGATAACTTTACTTGATTTAACTACTTATGTAGTTCGCTGTGCTTTCCCACATGTCCGCTGGTCTTAGTGAGCTTTCGATGTAATTCTATGTATTTTAACTATTCTTTAAAACGAGGAGTTCTAGTTAAACGGTCATTCCGAGTCTGTTCATGAGTGGAGATAATAAAGAACCACAAAACAATACCCCGGAAATTCCAGATGTTTATAATTTACTACTCTTATGACCTTGAGACCTGACGCGTTCAAACGGTTCAAATGGTTGTGGATTTTAAAAAGAAACTCCAAGTATTTCACTTACTACGAAGCATTATCATAAATATTAACTTTATCACCGGGTTTCGGTGTGTTTGTTTTACTTAAGCATTACTTGGTTGAAAGTTGTGGGTTTCCCGAATATTTGTGTTTTACATAAGTTGGAATAGGAAGTAATAATATTAAGGACATGAACTTATTTTCTTTCCTGTTTTTTTACAGATTACTGAAACATATATTCTGTAGTCTCAGTTGGAGCGGATTAGAGCCTTTCAAAATCGTGACTTTATAGTCAGTAGAAAGGTGTAGAACGCAGTCAGTATTTGACACAGGGAGAAGGCCGACAATGATGGACGCGGGAATATTGATTCAATTCAGTTGGATGGCATGGTTCAGCCTCGCATACGCGTTCATTCTGTATAATTTGATTTTACTCACGTCAAATATATTATTCTGCTTTTAGGTCAAATATATTCTTCAGAAGCACTAGACGTTACATAGCTTATTCTTATGGTGGGATAAGTCAGAATGGACAATTACAGGACTTCCACGTAAAATCTTATAGATTAGATAGTCATATCATGACAAATCTACAATTTTAGGATTAGTTTTATTATAATAATAGTACTAATAACGAAGTAAACTATAATCCTACAGACACGCTTTCCTTTCTTTGCGCTTGTCAAGTTTCATAAATTGTAACAGTTTAATGTAGTTCATGTAACCTTTCACAAATCATTTGTTTAACAATGTCGTGTAGTCACAGAACTTAGGGTAGTATCTAACCACAATATACCCATGATTTTGAGTCTCTTGCTAAGCTTACATAGGTTTAAAAGATGTCACGGCCATTCAGTTCTTGATAGCGCAATTGTCTATAACACTTTCTAGTCGTATATCTCAAAATTAGTCAGGAATGAAGGAAGTTAGAGATTACAGTTGGAAGTTATGCAGTCCATCGAGAGGTGCGTGATCTTAGCTAGCTAATCGTCATGATAGTGGGTTTAATGGGACTAATGAAGTCAGAGTCAGTGTTGAATATCCATAAACTACTCAGTTAGGTAATCGATTTACTGTTAGGGCTCGTTCTCTCCTAATGAGGTAGTTATAACTCTGAGACAATACCAACAAAATGTTTAAACCAAACGACCTTACTTCTTCGTAAATTCCCTTTTGATAGCTTACTATATCTGTAGTGAACAAGAACACGTGTGAAGACAATCGAATGTATTTGACACGAAATAACAGAGCATGTCACTAAAATCTGAGAACCATATAGTAAAAACATCAATCCATCATATCAAACTTGACTGTTCCTATTGCAAACGTCCATCGATTGTCTCAGATTTCATTGTTCATGCGTTTTCATTTCAATTGCGTTCCGTTCCCGTTCTTTCCTCATCGACCTTCTACTGAAGTACATTCTATGCCTGACCACTGTTAAATACTACATGTGTGGATATAAGTAACCCACACCACACATTCACCAGCGTCTCATTACTTTTTCATGTTCTAAGAAGTCATAAGATGTATAATAATGAAATGTACAATTAAAAGTTCGATTCACCGCATTGCTCCTAAATTTTTCATATTTTTCAGTAGTTCTGAAGAGTAAAGAAATGGAAATGTAAGTGCAAGTCAAAACAAACTTGTATTTGCTTAAGCAAGAAAACTCTACGAAAAAGTCGTTACCTATGCGTATATATTATAGCGCACAGGCTTTTACATTTTCGCAAGAGAATGATCATGCACAAGCATTTGAAATATATTTTGGATTTTGTTGGGGGGTCGCCTTATAAGAAGGCGGGGTTTACTTGAACGATGCTGATGTTATCAGTAGTCTCGTTCCTATAAATATAACGTGAGTTGATGATGACGAACGCATAGATTCTTTCGTATGCCGCCTTGATGAGTAGACATAATGAGTTGCAGTATACATAGGTGTGTAATGTGGCTTGGACGAAAACATTAGATGATTGTAGTCGGGGGGAGTTTTAATCCACATTCACTGAAATAAACGAATGATCTACGAATTCTCCTGGAAATCAAAGTCTTGTGTATTTCTAATTTCAAGTAATATGAGTGGTTGAGATTCACTTCAATGTTATACGTTCGAAGCTAAATTTGAGGCTTTCAACTGTCGGTGACATCGCTCTGCTAAACCGTCAACTTGAGAATATCAGGAAGTTGCTCGAAATTGTATGAGAGTGTATTGGTCCAGATTCGAACGAGCGTTCGCGATCCACTGAACGACAGCCGCAGTTTGCCACTAGAATCCCAACGAAGGCGAGGAACACTTTTGCACCAGTACTGTTCTTGATAGATACTGCTTCTGATCGTCACACAAAGTGGTCAAAACACTTTAAGAGATGAGTGTATCCATTTGGTTCTGATAAGTGTGTGACATTAGAAAAGTGAATCGCTCCAGTGCGTCTGTACTGGTGACTGAATAGCATTTAAGGAGTGTAAGATCCATTTTGAATGCTTTGTGTGTCTGTGAAAATCCCTCCATGTATATACTTGTACTTTGTTCCTATTGATCCCCTTAGTTGTACATTGTTAACCTTTTGGCTACATTTGAATTGTTAATATTTGTATTTTATTATAGTTTTCGTTTTTACTACACCTTCACTAATTCCCCATGTTTCTTCCCGAACTGCACTTATGTTGTTTTACTTTATACTAAGTCTGGGCGGCAGCCATTTTGGTTTGTTCCTGCTTTTGATTGCTTGACCTGTGTTGTCTGGAATTGTGCATTTTGGTTGTGAATTGAAGCACTCTTCCAGAATTGAAAACCCTGTGTTATAGAGCGACCAATTATTACCTTTTGAACGAATCTGTACGTGATCTATCCAGACAGGATAGAATAACATTTATTTGTGGTGATTATTTAGATTTGATCAATTGAACAATCACTGGTAGGATAGCTGAGTGGTTATATTTGTTTAGATCCGTCATCTTACCCAATTACTTTGTTTTTGTTTCAAACGGGCGAGGGCTCGTATCTAACTCATCCAGGCAGCTGTCCGGCAGTCCAAACGTAGTTTGGATCTTACAAGGAGGACGTCTGAAGAATAAATTTGGACTGAGAATAGAATGTTAAAATTGATATATAAAGCGAGAGGTTACAGACAGTTACCACACACGCATGGCTGAACCATGCTATATCAATTAATTTTCCTGAATTCATCATTTCTCCCCTCTAAATGTTGAATGTCGGTCTCTTCAGTTATTCTGTGTTTAGCCTTAAGAATCATGTAGTCAGAAACCAATACCACTACGCGTGCACGAAATGATACTGAAAGATACTTTTTCTAATGAGGTGTAGACGTTTGATAAACTTAGGTTACCAAGGTAGGTAAACCATTTTTATCAGTAATAGAATAATATCCTACTCAGAGAAGGTGGGTAAGTCAGTTCAGTTCAATTCAAAGATGAAGAAACAACAGTAAATAATAGCAAAAGTTTCTGAAGTAGACAGAGAATGTGCTTCGAAGTCTGCAACGCAAAACAGTGCAACCACTTCGTAAAGTACCTGAAGTGACGTGCGAGATGCGGTCTGGTTATCGAGACTCTTAAGGAGAGCACATGTTTGGGGACGGGTCAAGGTGAAGAGTAAGAGTTCAGCAGTTGGTGAAAGAGTGAATTGTCGGCCCTCTATAATGTCGAAAGTGATTCATAGCCCGGCATACAACTAGAAGTTCCTCGCCATGAGAACTGCGCCTCGGTCCAGTGCCCATGGACTGTCTGGAGAAAGATTTCAAAGGTCACCAAGTTTCATTCACTCACTGCTGTCAGACTCCTCCGACTGCAGAGCCTTATGCATCCACTGCGAAACTGATGGGTGATTTTGATGTCCGGATGTGTGAGCAGAGTTACTTTTGTTGTATTCTCCTTGACTATGGAAAACGCTTTTCTCACGTTCTCGTTCAAATTGTTGAACTTGTCTAGTTAAAGATCTTATGAGAAACGAGCAATTCGGTATAATCTGTCGATGAAAATTTACCAAACCGTAAACGTACATAAGTGCTTGTCTGTGGTCGGTTCTGGATAGTGCCGAATAGCCATCACTTTGTTCTTCAGAGTGTAGACGCCTTATACATCAATGGCGTGTCCAAGAAAATTGGAGAAATTGGTTTCAATTGACATTTCTCACAGTGATTCTCTCATTTTGAAGCCATTGAAAAACAAGTTCTGAAGCTGGACGTGTTGTTCTCCGTTCGAACGTGAGATTAAGTAGTTATTATATTCATTCTCAAAATCGGAACCTGTGAAACCACCGTCAGTAGTTCACTGAAATTTGACTTATCTTTCTTTAAACCGAAGGACACGAGTGAAATGTCGCAGAGTCCAAAGGGTATGACAATGCCCGTCTTAGGAATATCATTCCCATGTATTTGGACGTTTCTTATACGTTTTAGTCAAACCAATTTTTTAAAAAAACTGACGTATCTTCTAAGTTGACTGTCAGGTAGTGAATATGCATTATTTCGGAATCAGATGAAAACCACATACTATTACTGAGGTAACTTAGATAAGAATAAACATTTAAAATAGCCCTCATCCTAGATCAGTGACCTTTTGTACACGTAGCTAGATTTCTGTTGTCCAGTCGTGTTGTAATTCGATATTGTTGAGCTGTTGGTCCATTCTTCTTCTATAGGTTAGGTCTCCGAGTTGAGGAATAACCCTTTTGAATGTGTAGTAAAGTTTCAGAGGCATTACTGATAAATAAACTAGGTACAGCCTGCCTGATCAACTCACAAGTCAGTTCTTCTAGTTCAGCGAGGAATTGCACACACAGGCCTGTCACAGCGTGCTCATAGAAGTCAGCTTCTGTGTATCTGAATCAGGCTTCTGTATTTCAGGCCACAATGAGACGACTTGCACGATGAGAGGCGTAGAAGTGTTAAACTTGAATGGTTTAGGCATGTCCTGACGTAGTAAAAATGAAAATTATAAATATGAGGAAAATCTAAGAGCACAAAAAGAACACCGGGTATATTTTGTCTTACAACCAGGAACAGCCTCATAGTTTATAACTCGGTTTAATGAATCTCAACAAGGATCACCACTAATGATATCACTGATATTCAGTGCTTGATAGCACGATTGCCTTCAACACATCCTATTTGAAGACCAGACCGGTCAAAACGGAAGTCATCAGTGAAGGAGTTCGAAGATATATTTTAGAAATTGTGATATATATTATCTAAACTGATTAGCTGTTGTGAGGGATGCGTAGGGTGTTGTACTCACTGGTGTTCTTGTGTGGATGCTTGACCTAAGACCTTCAGACGCAGTGCATCCAGTAATACTAGCGGAATCAGTGGCAATATAGAGGACCTTGAGAACGATTTGTTTTGGCCATCAGTGAGCCACCACTACTAGACACAGTAAGGAGTAAAAAAGCTTCCGCCTTTCTTTTTGTAACCATTGGAACGACGTTTGCTCTCAATTAGAATGTTGGAACTTACTATTCAATTTACCATCAATATCACACAAAATTTAAATATATTTTCTACTGAGATACACTTTGGAGCGTATCCAACGGCGAGCCACGAAATCAGTTCGAGGACTCAAATCTAAGCCTTACGAAGAACGCCTCCGTTCACTAGACCTTTACCCACTAGAATATAGGCGCCTTAGAGGTGATTTACTAATGGCTTATAGTATTCTTAACACTTCTAGACATCCTCTTAAACACCTACTTAAGCTTAGTTCGAATAATAACCTAAGGGGTAACACCCAGAAACTGGAAACACAACATAGCAAGACGGAATGTAGACACAACTTCTACTCCTTAAGAGTTGTCAAAAGCTGGAATTCGCTGCCGGCCGAGCTAGTCCAAGCGACTTCTCAGGAGTCCTTCAAGAGGCAACTTGACCTATTCTTAAGGACCAAGGACAGCATCACATTATGATTTACCAATTTCTTTTCCTTTTTTATTGTTAACATACCTAGGTTCCTGCCTGGAGGATTTGGTGATCCCCTGCTACTAGACACGGAAGCCTGTTAAGCGAAAGCTTCTTCTATTCCGTCCACAACCATTTGAACCATTTGAACCATTTGAGATACCCTAGGAGCGTTGCCCTGAGGCCAAAAAAGGAATTCCTGATATTCGGATTTCCATACTTCAGTTAATTTTAGTCGGATGAAGATACGCTATTAGAAAGCAATTTTTATTAACCGATCTCTGTTTTAACCTGTCAGTCAAGTACAATAGTTTCTCCCGCATTATGTAAACGTCTGCAGTTTTTGATTATGGGCGCACAACATACCAAGGAGCGTCCGCGTCGTACATATCACCCGAAACTTGATCATGAATTGCAAATAAACACACGTACGTTATTGTGCTTTTAAAAATGTACCTATCGAATGCTTTTCTATTTAATACATGTAAAATCAAGTTTCAGAAGTGATTTTTATTGATATATTACAGTTAACGTGATTATTTAATTCGTCATTTTACGATGATAAACTTTCTCACGTTTGTATTAGTAAACTGTTCTTTGGTAGTTAAGGGATGGGATGCTGTTTCAATAATCTTCTCTACCCACAAAACATTAAAGCACTGTTCTGTGAGGGGAACAAACTTAAGTTTAACGGCAGTGTAGGATTGTAAAATGCGATTAAAGCTACCTAGTTTGACCAATTCCAGGGATGTGGTAACTGAACCCTAGCTTTAAATGACTAATTTATAAAGCCTAGTAAGTTAGTACCTCTAGTTCTTATCGATGAGTTCGATGCTCGAATGACTTGTCTCTAAGCTCTTCACATGACGTCATTGCCTTTGTATCTCGTCCTGCGAATATAACGTGGGTAGAAGTTTACGTAAAAGCGACACTACGGGACCCTCGCTAGTTGTACAAAACATTTTATTTCTAAATGACTAGAAATTCGCTGTTAAACTAATAATTCAGAATTCGAAATCTGTAAGAAATGGTATGGCATCCTTAAATGTGGTCGATCTTATCCAACTGCTTTGCAGCAGTTTATCTGTTAGTTTTAGAGGCCTTTACATTTCATTCTTCCAAAATGTATCAGTTTGCATTTTTTATTTGGTTTCCGAGGTCGGTAGAGTCTATTTATTTCTATCTATTTGAACACAAATATTGGTACAAAAGGGGCACTGAATGTATATGCCTCTTTTGTTTCATCAGGACAATGGAACCCATGTGCATTATTGGTTTGGGATCAAGGTTTTACAACTCCCCTCGGTAGATCTTCCATATCCACCAACCCGGTCAAAGCACCGAACATTCGCTTTTCGTCCTCCCAATTTCGTAAACAACACCCCTGCCTCAAAGAGGCAGTATAACTTCCCTGTCAGTAGCTATACACGCGTGGCTATGCGAGAGAATTTTGAGAGGGACAGCTGACTATCTCTACCTTCGGCCTTATCGGGGCCGACCGAAAAGTGAAATTTTGGTCAGTAGATGCTATTTTTCAATCATAAAAGTTTCGAAATTCAAGAATTCTTAAAACATTTTGGAGTGGTTAAATAGAACAAACAGTGCAATCTCGAATCGTCATTGGTTGCATAAGTGGGGTAGGCTAAAAGTAGTATAATGCGATCGGTAGCACACAGGCTACCAAGTACGTTTTATGTGACTGGAGCGGTTCAAGTCATGTTGCAAGTGCGTGTGACAGCTTCTGACTGCAAGCACTATGCATCATATGCTAGTTACTGTACAATTTTAAAAACTACATCCAGTTGTTAGACACTTTGGGTAACGTGGTTTAGAATAGGTTACAGTGGCACAAATACCTTTATATCTTTAGATTTCAAGTTCCAGATTTCCTTCGTATATACCTTTTCTTTCTGTCTATTTGAACTTTATTCTCATTGCCTATTCCTATTACACTTGTTGCTAAATTATTTCAGTTGCTCCTCTATTCATCATATCGATTCCGTCTCATCTTGCCAATGTATTGCATCGACTTGGATCAGTGAATATTTGTTCCAGACTCTGCGTTGACGACAACTAACTGGTAGTTTCGTCCGCACCTCTTAAACTGTAACTGTCTCTGAGACTAATGTAATATTTGTTCTATTCATGAATAACATTGACTTCCTCCTTGCTACGAGGTATGAAATGAGTGTCACACGTCTGTCACACAAGTACAATCAGGAGTAACTCAATTATGGGTCGAAAATAACCGCAGTTTATTGCACTGATTTATATGGGGTAATACAACCCTTTGTTGAGCGTTTTTCTGGCTTTAGCTCTAATAGCTATTTTTGACTTTAAGACTTAGCCATTTTCAGAGTAGTAATTAATTGTTCATAATCCATTTCCTAATTCACATTCTTAAAATTGACTTGATCATGTATTTGCTCGGCTTTATTATCGTTTAACTTCCACCAAACACTAGGTTTCTGGAGGATATGTTGAACTATGCTAACTCATAATAAGTTAAATTCTTAATATTAGATCTAAAGTTTTCTAATTTTGTGTATGGTTTTTCTAGCTACATCTTGGATCCAAAATCACAACCCTACAACGAACTTCAAAGTTTCTGTAGCGCACACATCTCAGATAAATCAACCCAGTGATCAACTATTAATAGCTTTGTTTGATTTCATTCCACCAAATACACCAGAAAACCAGTCACAAATTAGAGTAGAGAAAGGTAAAGTTTGTATTGACTTTATGTGTCTACGTTGTTTACCATAATTAAGCCTGGTAAAACTTTGACTTTTTCTAGTACCGAGTAATCACTATTATTATTTTATTATCAGAAAACCTTTAAAAGTAGGACACCATTAATTGTATTACACAAGATGTAGCAGTAGGTTTGCGAACAAATGACAACATATAAATGATGTTGGTTTCAATGGTAAGTCTTACTGTTTATGTAGGCCTTAGCAGAAAATTGAGACAGGATCACCACTGAGATGTGCAATGTTTGGAGTTTCAAGACAATGGGGTTGACGTTTTGGGATGATAATAAGCCACCACCATACTCAAAAGTGCACTTTGCATAACTTAGCGTTTTGACTAAATGTGAGCAGTCCTTCGGAGACAGTGATCAGATACAATGGTTCCTACCAACACTCTCAGTTATTCGTATGTATGAACTCGACCGTTTCCTACGACTAATAATCAAGGATGAGTGTAGAAAGTTCCTTCCAGTTTTGTTGAAATATAAAACACTTCGGTGTTGCACGTGCATACCATACTTAAGAGTTTTAATCGACAATGTATTCAAGTTGAATAGGTTAAATGATGTCATCGCATAGTAAAGCGATATCAAAGGTGTGAAATCTGAATAATAAATTCACAACATCTAGAACTCTTATTACAGCTGTTACTAAAGTGTAATCAAGCTTTGAGTGAGGCGGCGGATTAGTTTCACCAGTATTAAGGTTTACACCAGTACGTCTTGGGTTCAGATCTCTCTCCATCTACCTCGATTGCGTCGCTTGATCACATAATGTCTTCTTCAGGTGATTACACGAACTTGCACTTGACTTTAACTCATCTACCAAGTACATATTTATATACTCGGTTTATAGCCATACCTTGTACAAAAGTTTGACTTACTACTTGATTATCCAAATGAAAGTATGTGGAAATGGTTTCAAACCATTGGCTTGCATTTAGTACGTAAGTAATATTGAGTTCAAAGAACTATGATATGGTTGTACTTTCCTTTCTTACTCCACTTTTAGTGTAAACTAGTAAAAAAAGGGTATATTTCCTGTCTATTTGATGTGTTTTCGAGTTTTCCCCGCGATACTGTTCTCACTGTAAATGCCAGATCGCACTCCTACCCGACATATTAATGACTGCTTTAATGTCAAGTACTACTGTTGACCCACAGTTCGTGTGACAGTGTGAAAATATGTACGTTTTCAATGGATTTACGACTGAAATAAAACTTGGCAGTGTGAGGTCAGTATTTTAAAATAAGCTGACAGCAGAATATTACCTTACTTTACCATTATGTTGCCCTTTAGGAGTCCGAGATCTGACTCCATTTAGATCGTATGAATGATTGTTGATGAAATATACATGTCTCCAATCCTCACATATAATCACCGACTTAAATGGTGTTGGTGAATAATGGAGTTAAATAAGTCAAATACGAGGATGGATTTCGAAGACGTATATTTCATACAATCGTTAATCCAGACAAACGATCAAAGGAACAAAGCGAAGAGAAGAGAAAGAAGCGACATGGCGTCCAGTGGAGAAGTCATGTCAGCCTACTCGATTTTTAATCAAGCGTTAATCGCTATTTGTAGTCAGGCATGTGATGAGTAAGATAGGGAATACACATGCATGCGCTTACATAAAAAAGGCAAGGCTGATAAGCGAATAATTAACAAGGTCAAAATGTGACACATGAATGATGAATAATTTGGTTTGTCCCGGAAGCTAGAATAAGCTATATGGGCTTAATATATCAACCGACACTACAACCCCCTTTTAATGAATACCAACATAAGTTGTTTCTTGTATCTATCTCAACGTTTTTGCTGAATATTGTTTTTAAGTGGTTCAGTATCAACGGACCATGAAACAAGAAAATTTAGTCGATGTTTTCAAGGCATTGGGATAACCAAACCTTCTTAAAACTTTCAACCAGGCTTCCAGGTACTATTGAAGATTGTTTAAAGGTCCCCGTAATTTGCCCAAATTATCTCATAAGTATAAGTTCTGTTACTACTGATGGCTTAGATAAGTTTCCAGTGCTTGTTAAGTCCAACTACTAGAATAGAGCGTTACACATTAAGAAATCATTTCTAGAAGCTTACTGAAATCAGATACATATCAACAAATTATATTATAACGTTTTTTTGTCTCAGTTGCTCGATAAACCTTATTTGACTCAAAATATGGGGTCGGGTGCTTATGAGCAGAGTTTGTGGCTATGATAAGTCCAAAATAATTCACTTTACTCCATCAACCAGGATTAGTTTCACTTTTTTAATTACAGCTGATAATAAAACTCATCTGCAAGCCTGTGTCAATGTAGTTAATTTCTCATGCTTGGAAATTCTAGTATTGCCATTTTAGTCCCTGAGATACTATAATGTTTAAACTTAATTTAGGCTCCACTTACCGTTTAGATGTTTTGGAACCTCCCATTTCTTCATATTTAGTACCTACTTTGTTTCCGCTATGCTTAAAATTAGGCGATCGTCTACAGCTGTTTGGTTACAGTGCAGATGGTGATTGGTCAGACGTTGAATGTATACGAACTAATGAACGTGGTTGGATACCAACAAACTATACAGGTCGCATTCCTGTTCCTCCTAATGATCACGGTACAGCTTTGAATACTGGATCAGCTTCCGGCAGTTCACTTACTTTCCAACATACTAGTAGTCACGATGTTAGTTGTAGTGGTAGTCAAGGAAGTTTGGCTGGAGTAGGACTGGAGTCAGAAAAGTGGTATCATGGTGCTATTCAGCGAAGTTATGCAGAGTATTTACTCAATAGTGGAATCACAGGAAGTTTTCTCATCAGGGAATCAGAAAGTCATCCAGGTCAGCTCACAATAAGTCTTCGTTATGAAGGACAGATATGGCATTATCGTATCCATCGTGATGATTCTAACATGGTAAGTTTTTTTACATATATATATATATATATATAAATATATATCCTTAAAACGTAGATACTGATAAAAAGAGAAAAAGTAATCATTATAGTTAAAAAAAACTTATTGCTTGAAATTCTCGGATGTTTGAAGTGGAGAATTCCAGTTAAATACATCATTTACAATGTCATCAAATTTGTGATACAAGAATATCCAGTTAACATTTCTCAAACTGGACTAAATATGTGTTTGGTACTTTACTGTTAGCTGCCACCAAGTTACTCCAGTTAGTTCGGCTAACCGAATTAACGTTCTCGTCCAATTTTCGGATTTTTTTGTTTTATGCAAATAAAGTTAAAACATTTTTATCAACGCTTTTCTTACACAGATGATCCATGCTTGTTAGTCGTATAGGCCTTTGTTCTAGTGATTTCATGGATAATATGCTAAACCAGCAATCAAAGCCGATTATCAACAGATTTCCAGTACTTTCCTTGTTACTCTTCTAGAAATAAATTATTCTGATTTTCGTGTCGCATTCAAAGTAAAGTAAGTACAAGTTTCGTGTACTCTTTGTTAAGCCACATGATATGAGGGGTAGTAATTGTACTGGTCTGCTTGAGCCTAAGTAACCTGGTAGTTGAAAGCCGAATGGCTTGAATACCAAGCTCTACTGTATGAATTAAGTTGCCACTCTTTGCACACTTCTCATTGATTTTCAGCTCATTAGGTAGCCTGTGAATTAGTCATTTCAAATAAACTTTTTAGATAAGTACGGTTTCCGATTTTTTATATCATTCCTTCATTTTTTCTTAGTATTACGTTATTGAATCCAACAAGTTTACATCAGTCTCTGACCTTGTACATCATCATGAGAAGCATTCAGATGGTCTGGCCTGTACATTATTATACCCAGCACCTAAACGAGACAGAACAAGTTCAGAGCTACGCATGGATCCCAGTTTCGATATACGTGAGATAGATCGTACCGAAATAGTTATGAAACATAAATTAGGTAAGTCCACGTTTCGTTATAAATAATCTTTGATAGCTCGTCATGAAACAGAATGATCATTTAACCTATGCTTATTTACTTATTTCCTGATACATTAACGTTTCTTTTTATTTTTCATGCAGTTTTATGAAGTGAAAATGTCTTCAGTCGTTAGTGTATAACAGATTTAAACTTATGTTTGATATCTGATCTCTGTGTGTATAATCACGCTCTCAGCTGTTTTCCTTTTGTGCATTCTCATTGATGATGAGTTTATTCCTGCAAATACTGGATTACTTCACTATTGTACATCGTATTTCTTTACCAAATTATTATTCTTTCCTTATTTGAAATAGGAAACTTTTAGTGGATCTGGAAAGTAATCCATTGATGTGGATGTAAGGCACATAACAATGAAAAAAGCTAACATTTTAGAAGCATACAGACTAAAAACTTGTGTTTGAAGCAACTTATGTGGTAGAGAGCACAATAAATTCATCGTATTCCATAATAATTTTCGCTTTTACTTTGTTCAGTGTTAAATATTGAATATAAAATACAGCGTATTAGTTTGTTGCGTGATGTGATATGATACTCAAAGATTAAGCCTAACAGTCACTTCTTAATTGATTGAAGAATGAGTGATCTGCAAGCTAATTTCTTCCAATCGCTTATGACATTTTGTGTTCTTTTTCTATATATATATATATATATATATATATATATATATATATATATATATATATATACTTACTTACGCCTGTTACTCCTCGTGAAGGAGCATAGGCCGCTCACCAGCATTCTCCATCCAACCCTGTCCTGGGCAATCCTTTCCAGCTCCGTCCAGTTGTAATTCATCCTTTTCATATCTGCTTCTATTATCCGACGCAATATGGCCTTCCTCTTTTTTGCTTCTCTTCAGGATTCCAAGTTAGGGCTTGCCTCGTGATGCAGTTTGACGATTTGCGTAATGTATGTCCTATCCATTTCCATCGTCTTTTCCTAATTTCTTCTTCAGCTGGAAGTTGGTTTGTTCTCTCCCACAGAAGGCTATTACTGATGGTATCCGGCCAATGGATGTTGAGTATCTTGCGAAGACAGCTATTTATAAATACTTGTACTTTCTTGATGGTGGTTGTTCTAGTTCTCCAAGTTTTAGCTCCATACAGTAGAACTGCCTTGATGTTCGTATTGAAGATTCTCACTTTGATATTAGTTGAAAGTTGTTTTGAGTTCCATATGTTCTTCAATTGTAGGAATGCGACCCTTGCTTTGCCGATCCTCGCCTTTACGTCTGCATCTGAACCTCCTTGTTCATCGATGATGCTTCCTAGGTATGTGAAGGACTCTACATCTTCCAGAGTTTCACCATCAAGAGTGATTGGATTGCTGTTCTCCGCTTTGAATTTGAGGACCTTGGTTTTCCCTTTGTGTATGCTGAGGCCTACTGATTCAGAGACTGCTGTTACACTGGCTGTCTTCATCTGCATCTGTTCGTGTGTACGTGATAGGATGTCTAGGTCATCTGCGAAGTTCAAATCGTCTAATTGGTTCTGAGCTGTCCATTGTATTCCGTGTTTTCCTTCAGATGTTGAGGTCTTCATAATCCAGTCGACCACCAGAAGAAAGAGGAAGGGAGAGAGTAAACAGCCTTGTCTGACTCCGGTCCTTACTTGGAATGCATCTATCAGCTGTCCTCCATGCACTACTTTGCACTGTAGTCCGTCGTATGAGTTCCGGGTAATATTGACAATCTTCTCAGAAACTCCGTAGTGTCGAAGAAGTTTCCATAATGTCCTCCTATCTACACTGTCGAATGCCTTTTCATAATCAATGAAGTTGATGTATAGTGATGAGTTCCACTCAACTGATTGTTCGACGATGATCCGTAGTGTTGCAATTTGGTCTGTGCACGACCGATCCTTACGGAATCCAGCTTGTTGATCTCGAAGTTGGGCGTCTACTGCATCCTTCATCCGGTTCAGCAACAATCTGTTGAAGACTTTCCCTGGTATTGACAGTAGTGTAATGCCTCTGTAGTTTTCACATTTGCTCAGATCTCCTTTCTTTGGAATCTTGACGAGGTGTCCTTCTTTCCAGTCCATCGGCACTCTGTATATATATATATATATATATATATATATATATATATATATATATATATATATGTATATATATATATATATATATATATATATGGATCTTAATACATGAAAAGTTATTCATCTGGCTAGTGGTCTTGTCTTTATTTTCTAATCATTCGGAGGCTCAAGTCAATTATACGGTTTCGTGAATAGTTGTCGCTCAGTCACATTATTATCCGTCGATTAGCATTCTATTCATTGATTTTAACTGTCGAGATTTCTTCTAAACAAATTCGCAGAAAACCTTTATACCATCACATTACCCATAAATTTATCAGAAAAACGATTCTGGTCAGGGATTTCTTTACTCTATAGAAATCTGTTTCACTGCATAATTTTAATATCACTACACTCCTATCATTATTATTCTCACTTTTGAACTAAATTAAGTGTTTGCTTTCAAATTTAATGTAGATTTCTCCATTGTTCCATTCAAGCAGTGGGATAAGACTGAATTGTCCAATCACAGCATTCCTCTTCAACTTTGCCATCGATGACATTCTGGAAACAGCTGATGGATGTAAGTAATGGCGGTGTGGATCTGTTGCCTGGAGAAAGACTTCTCGACCTTGAGTATGCGGATGATATTTTCTTACTGTGGGATAATGCCCAAGCCATGCAATCCGCACTTAATCACTTGCTAATTAGTGTCCGTAGGTATGGTATGTGCTTTGCATCTCCGAAGTGCAAAGTACTTCTACAAGACTGGCAGGATTCCAATCCTGTACTCACCCTGGATGGTGAGCAGATAAAAGTAGTGAAGTTCGTGTATCTGGGTAGCTGCATAAGTGCTGGTTGTGGCGTGAGCGATGAGATCAATACACGTATAGTGAAAGCCAGAGCGGCTTATGCCAATCTGGGCCATGTTTGGCGCCTTCGTGATGTCAGTCTGTCTGTCAAAGGTTGGATCTACAACGCGTCGGTGAGAGCAGTTCTGCTGTATGCTTGTGAAACCTGGCCTCTCCGAGTTGAGGATGTTAGATGACTCTGTGTTTGATCATCGTTGTCTCCGAAGGATTGCTAACATTCAGTGGCAACACCATGTTAGTGATGCAGGGGTTCGGCATCGTGTGTTCGGGTACAGAGATGATAATCCGATTGGTGTCACCATCTTGAAACATCGACTTCGGTGGCTTGGTCATGTTCTACGAATGTCGTCCCAGACAATTCCACGTCGTGCATTATTTGGTGACTCTGGGACTAGTTGGAAAAAGCGGAGAGGTAGTCAGCGTATGAAATGGTGTCGTGGTATGAAAGAAAGCTGCACGGGACTGGCTTCTGTTGGTCCTTCACGACTCCGTGGCTGGGGTCCGAGAGATGGTGCTACACAGTGGGTAGAGACGTTATCAGGAATGGCTCAGAATAGAAGCCAGTGGCGATCCTGCTGTAACCTTCGTTTACTTTTTTCATAAAAAGTGGTTGTATCTTCCTTAAGTGAAAGAATTTTTTTGTTTGTACCTTTCTGTTTCCCCCATTATTATTATTATTATTATTATTATTATTATTGCACTACCTTACACTACTCTTTTCTTTTTTTTCTTATACTCACCTTACCTTCTTTTTGCTCTTCCGATTGTCATTGTTTTGTGTGGCGCATGTATATTTGGTGCTCTCTTGTATCAATATTTATGTGTTCAAATAAAATAATAAACAGAATTCGATGAGCGACCACTTATCTAGTGAATTTTGAATCGCCCTTTATTTGATCATTGAAGTTTGACGTTTATCAATACTGTTTTCGACAAAAGTTAAGGTTATTCACTCACTCACTACTGTAGAGTTCTGAAGCGAATTTAACTAAACTTTCTATTTTGAACACATTAAATGGTAACCGAAAAGTGATTGTATTGGTTAAGGTGCATCTATTTATTGTTTTTTCTTTCATACACCTTTTCATTTCTTATCATATTTTTACACTATCCTTTACCTACATGCCAATAAAGCTCTGTTTTTTCTTCGTGTAAGTTAACAAGGGAAAGTTGTTGCATGTTCATGAAATAAATCTGAAAATACATCAATCAATGTTAACTAATAAAGTCATTATTAATTAATTTAATAGTTGGTTGTTTTGCAACTATAAGTATGGTCCAGTTAATGTTCATGTAAGTAAAATCTTATCGATGGTTTCTAATTAATGACAAAGGTACTTCTAATCAAAATAATTTACACGATTTCAGCCACTTCGACTTTACTGATAATATTTGATTCATATTATATGCTGTGCATATAGACTCTATACTTCTGTCAAACCCAAAAATCTTATCCTGTAGTGTTGTGCTAAGAGTTATTTCTTCGTGACTGATGAATTTCTATCATTTGGAGCGTAACATTTGTTCGCAACACCTTAATATGGATTGGCGTATAATCAGTAACTATTAAGAATATTCAACATAACGTTTATTTGAACTATATTCAGAAACATGGACCTATTCAGTATAGGCACTTAAAAAGCTTATTTTAATATTGAGATTAAAATACAAATATAAATTAACCTTTTCTTGCAATTGATGGACAGCAACATTATATTTAAAGTGTGCAATTTCGGTAGGACTAGCATTTAACATTCATGCTTAATTATTCTATATGACTAGTAATTTGATTAATTCATTTCCAACTATTTGTTTTTCTGATTTACTGATTACAGATGGTTCTCTTGAAATTATATCATTTTGATATTTTAGCTATTAAATAAAGTAGTCTGTAAGAGAGTTTGGTTATTGAGTCACTACTCACATGCTAAAATAATGCATAAATATCCGTGTAAATAATGAGCACTAAGACAGTTATAGTCTGAACTTGAAGCGAAACAATACGATTGAGCTTTTCTAAATGTTTTCACTTAACCAGTGTGCATCTCTTCCTGTTTATCAAGTCATCTAAACTTAACTATATTTATGTTCATGTATCCTAAGGATTTCTCAATTTATATCTACATTTTATCATCTTTAAGTTACTGAACTTTATTAATTTGTCCATATTATTGGTAAATGTACCAGAGTATTTTTCATTCAGATATGATTTTCCTGCACTTAGATGTTTTTATCAGAATTCAAGAGTAACAAATATTCTTGGATTTTAGACTATTTATAATCTTAATAACTACACCATCAATCCATCGAAATTGATCAAACTTCAGAGTTGCTATTATTCAACAGAATATCTAATCAATAGTCGAGGCATCTTGTGTATTTATTAAAGTGATTACACATTTTATTAGATAAGTATTTTACGATTCCCTTTCTTAACATTGACCTTTTCTTGTTTTTTTCTCGATAGATTTTCTTATTAATTAATTTATTCGATTCATGCGTTTTATAGCAGCTTCCGCCATTGATTTTTTAAGGTCACTCTTCCATTTTTTTACTATGGTGTCCTGTTTCTGATCTTTCATCTGCAATAATTATTTTATCACTGAATCACTGTGTACGTGTGTGATTTGGTTACGTTGATGTATAATTTCTTGTAAAATGTAATGATAATAATAAAAGTGATCCTATATAAAGTGTTGGTCATATGTTAATGGTACTGTGTGGTGAAATTTCAACGTTAATTATTCTGTTGTCACCTACGCGTATTCGGCTTCAGTTTATGTATACTAATAGTGTTACTTTATTTAGTCATCTGACTGTTCGACACTTCACGCCTGTCTATTTCATTTATTTTTGATGCATGTTGATTTATAGTATCACTAGTGTCCGCATAATTGGATACACAAATCTATGTCGTATCGTACATTATTAATTACGAATTTAAGGCATCTACTTTCGTTTATACATTTAAAATTTTTTTATTATAAAGCTATATGGAGATTGTTCAGTTGTAGGCCTCACATTACAGACTGACTTTAGTTAGACAACCAGTGGAAATCAGACAGCGTCAGGCAGTTATTTTCTCTGAGTATGAACCTTAGCAAAGAGCATCAACGACTCTACTAAATATCGAAATATGTTGTTAAGTCGTAATCTTTGTCGGATTGTGTTCTACTCATTTTTTGTAGTGTTTCACTTCATTCATATACTCTGTTGAATTGTTAAATAAATATTCAGAGAATAATGGAGACGTATCCATGTATGTCGATTTCTCTCTTTGACAATGCAACCAGTTCCTCTATTGATTTAACTGAAGTTCCAAACAACACGTTATAAAATATGTAATCACAAATAAAGTAAATATATGAAATGAAAGAAATTAACTTGATAGAAGACATTAAATCACCGGAGTTTTCATCCGAGAACAGAAATAAGTACATTAAGTTGTAGTAATGAGATGACATTATGCTTTTTTTTTCTGAGTTCTATTGTGGCGTATGCTGATTTTGTTGACAGATATAAGTAGTATTTAGCAGCTATCGGAAGTGGAATGCTTGCCAGCAGAAGAATGAGGTGATTGAATTGAAGAGAACAGGGACAGAAATAGAAAACAATTGTAACAACAACAGGACTGAGAGAATCATGACGCATGTAAAAGACAAATAATATATTTAATGTATGGTTTTCAGATTTTACGAAAACACTGTAATTTTGCTTTGATCAATAAATTGGTTCTCCTCACCTTAGTCTCATTCACTGCACTATGCTCACAACGAAGATTATAGTCCAAATCAACAGTGTTAGGTGTTATTTACTCTAAGGGTTTTTTTAATGACCATGATAAAAATCACTTTCATTATAAGCGAATTTTAGCCGTGCTATCTGTAAGTCAGATCAGTGAATAGTTATGTTACTCAATAATCATTTACTGGTTTATGTATTTGTCTGTTAATGATACTTGTGTGAGGGTTGTTAACGATTCCACTCAGCTACCATAATTATAGCTGGTTGAATTTTGAATATCCAAACCAGTAAGCCGCAACTTTTTACTGAACTTCGGTAATATTTGAATGATTTGCTTGTTGATCTCAATTGTTCTTATATGAATTTGAAATTGTTGATTTCAGAAGTTATGTTTTTTTAGGAATCTAGTTTCCTTCACAGTAACATCGTATAAGTGAAATATTATATTCTCTAAGTGCCATGTACCAGTATAAACTCGCTTCCTATTTTCCTAATGATTTTAATTTGTTTATACTTGTCATCTCTACCACCATTTTATGACAAAAGCTTAAAACCAACCGATCGAGAATATCCTGCTTAATTAGAACTCCTTATGATGTTGTACACATATGTTTTCGTTTTAGACTACTTATCTTTATTATTTTACGGACTTTTTAATTTCAGGATCAGGACAGTATGGTGTAGTATATGAGGCTGTATGGAAACCTTATAATGTATTAGTTGCTGTTAAAACACTTAAGGTACGAGTTTACCCACTGCAATAACATTTTAACTAAATATTCTCTAATTTAGTTTTTATTTTAATAATCCTTTAACTGTTACATATTCTACTCGACAAGTTGAGTGAATAATGCCGTTTAGATATGAGTTTATCCCTATTAAATTTTCTAATAGTGTTTTAAACTAATTCATAGCATTAGGTTTATAGAAGCCGGTGAATACTTTAAGAATTCTGCTCTAAGCTACTGGTTAGTAGGGACTTTAGTATCGTCCAGTACGTTGTCATTATGGTAATTGCAAACAGTCAATAAGGCGAAATGATTGTGCATGATTATTTATATCTTTCATTTGCTCCTGAGTTCAACCTGATCGATCCACTTTAAATGGTATGTACACAAAATAAGTTTGATTCGTGATAATTTATGTTACTGTTCATAGGATCGAAGTACAAAGACATGGTTGACTGATGTTCTTATGAACCAACTACGCTGATTTCTTATTAATGTTTTACTGAGTTATTAATAATCCATTCTATTGATGTTTATAAGTGAAATCCTCAATAACCCTCTGCGTGCGTAAAATCAGTAAACACACGTTGCACACAACTACCTATTTTAGATTTGTCTACTGTGACCGACTGTTCTATATAAATAACCTAATATCACATGCTGTGTTACTTAGTGGAGTTAGTGTATTGGTTTATAAATATATCCTACCCATTTCAGTCGATGAAACCTTTAATAAGCATTTCGACATTTCTTTTATCCTGTAGTTAGTTGGTGGTACTTAAGAAAAGTTCAAATAATCTTTTGTATTCCAGAGATTTCACTAATCACAGCCTCACTATGATAAATGGGATCTCTTATTTAAATGTAGTAGTTTTATGATGCACACTACTTATTCTTCTATTATCTTACTGTTCTTTTACTAAGGATACTTAAGTAATTCTGCTTTTAGCTTTACTGTCCGAGTTTTTGCTTTTGCTGGCCAAAATCCTTTAAGTCTCCATTAGTTTCTTTATCTTTTATATATTGTCCTTTTTCAATCCTATTTACAAGCTATATTACTTACAAGTAGTTATACAGCAAGATTTTTTTTGGGAAGACAATAAAAGCATGCGTCAAGTATGGTTGAAATGTTATTGAGAAATGATGGAGATATTGTAGTATATTATTAGTTTGGACTCAATTGTTTAAAGTTGGAATCATTCCAATTTTTTAGGTGATATGACGAATATTTTTTGTGTGCTAATAGTTTTTCATTTCACCCATTTTATTTATGAGTTGACGATTGTTGAAATGTAGTTTGTTTTGATGATTTGATCCTGAATAAGTATATGCTATGTGTTTCTTAAAAATTAATTTTTCCAGGAAAATGTCACAGTTCGTGATGAATTTTTAGAAGAGGCTCGTTTGATGAAAAGCTTAAGACATCCAAATCTTGTGACTTTGTTAGGTAAGTAAGCAGAATTTTTCTGCGAGTTTTACTAACACATTTTTCCTCGATTCATTCCAAATAATCGAAAACATATAACTTGCACTTCATAGTTTACATTATAGACTGACTTTAGTTAGTGGCAAACATTGAAAACTAGGAAGAACTATTTCACTATCAAAACTTTTGATCTGGATGAAGTCACTTTTTTCAAATATATACTGCTAGCTCTAAGTATGCTTTATTTAATATTATTTATTTAAACACATAAACATTGGTACAAGGAGGCACCAAATATATATGAGCCACATAAATCGAATGATTTGGATTTGTGTGAAGCCTGGAATACTGCCCGGGTGCCCAGACTCAGTTTATGTTGACTTGGCACCATTTGCAAATTGTTTTTGCAGTAAATGTAAGCTTCACATATTCTCTATGAATGTGTTGTCATTAATTACTGTCAGATGATACGTCATTTATTAGATGTTCATAATCCATTCTTTTAATTTATCATAACAACTACGAGCCACTTGTAAATTTTCTTTTAAATTTTTTCTCTAAAGGTGCATGTACTCGGGAACCACCTTATTATATTGTCACAGAATTTATGTGTAATGGGAACTTGTTAGATTATTTGCGTACACATCCTAGAACAGAATTAACACCTTCAGTTTTATTACATATGGCAACTCAAGTTGCTAGAGGTATGGCTTATTTGGAACAACACAACTTTATACATCGGTGAGTTGTTTTGGTTGTTTATGTTCAATCCATGATTTCTCATGCCACTGTTTTTTTAAAATTTCTAAATTAAAACTGATTTTACTCACTTTAATGTAGATATTATCTTGTATAAAATTAAACAAAAGTGAACTAATTTATTATTAAATAATAACTATCACTCATAATTATGGTTTAGTTTTCTGTTCATTTATGTGTTATCTTTTATGATTATTAAATTTTAAACGTTGTATTCACGAATCGATCTAATCTAGATCATCATTGAAAACCTGGAGGTACTGGACTGTTTAAAATACTACAATCTCCACAGATCCCCATACTGATGATAATCATGTACTCACTAGTGACTAGCTTCAAGATGGATTTCCTAGAGTTTTAGTGAGAAACTGTGACCAGTGAAGTCCAGTCCGTTTCCGGTGTGAGACAGCTATCCATCTCAGGCAATGGATGAAGAGTTGCACAAGATCATGAATCGATCAAAGTTAGACATTAAGACTGTTGGATGCTGAATCTAGAGGTTGAGCGTTCGCGTGCGAGACGGAATGTCCTGGGGTGAAGTCTCGAGTACGGGATCGTGGGTGCTCACTCCTGATGAGTCCCACACTAGGATGAGACGACCTTCCGTTGCTTCCAGGTTTTTAATGGCGGTCTGGCTGAGATCGACTCGTAAATTCAACTGTTAAAACACTACAATCTCCACAAATTCCCACAATGATAAAATTTTTTAGTGATTTGCATACACTTTAATTTGATTCCTTATCACAAATAAATTATACGACTTCTATATAGATCTGAAAAGTAACAGGGAAACTGACAACAGACAATAGTAATTACTATTGCTTATCGCCTATTGGATTCATGCAGTAATTTCGATTCAGTAATAGCTATTCACTTATTGTGTTAATATTCATTAATAACCATATAGTTTATAGTTTTCATTGATGAACTTTTCATATTTGATCTATACTAACTGGCATTTTTAAAGTACACTTAGTTTTTATTTATTTATCCGAACTATCGTTTGACTACATCCACCGACTTTCAAAATAGTTATTACAAGTTACTGAGATAAATTATTACTTTAGGTGTATAATATAATTTATGGTTATTAATACAGACGGACATGCTACAGATTTGTATCATAACTTTGTTACTGAAGCTTTACAGGAAGCACATTCTACATCCATATATATTTGACGTAACACTGTACTTTCTCCAAGGGTTTATCATGTATAACGTTCTCGAAAAAATTATAGGCCTCATATTGTATACGTGACGTAAGCACTTTTTTAGCTTGAATATATCATAATCATACTGTAAAAGTGAGTATTTTTTCCTAACTTTGATTTTTTTTTCCCATTCATCTGAATCCTAGAGTCCAGTTAACATGTTTTAATTATTCTAGTAAATAAAATTCCCTATTTTGTCGCTTGAGCCTAGTTATTATACATTCAGTATTTAGTGGTGGATAATAGCAAATGAAACAATAATACCCCTACATATTGTCGAAATACAATCAATTAAATGATATAGTATTTAATTTTTCTTTCTATTCGGTTTAAAATTAATTATAATACACGTATCAATCAAATGTTATCCTGCACATCATAATGGTACAGTAAAAATTGTAATTGAATCGAACAAGTAATCGATAAGATTATAACACTAGCTAAATTAAGTTGGAAAACCCTGATCCCAAATCAATGGTGCACATGGGCTCCATAATCCTGAGGGAATAAATGGCGTATGAACCAATTATTGGTCACCGGCTACCATGGGACTGTATCTTTTGACATTGCTCCACTGCCTTTTTTGGATCAGACCTTTAGGTTGAAGGCTCCGGGTGTGAACCTCTAAGAAAATCACCTACTTCCGCCTGGGCACCTGAGCAATATCACAGCCCTGACGAACTGAATGGGTTGTGTGGCACATATATATTTGGTTCCCCCTTGTACCAATGTCTATGTGTTTGAATAAATAAATAAATGCAATGAACGTATATAAATAAGACTAATGAATGTCTCCGACTGAGATCGATCAGTAATCACATCATTTAAAATTTTTGATGAACTACCTAAAAACAATTTGTCCAGTTTACATTTTATAATTACAACTTTTCTACTCCTATTATTACGATAATGTTGAGGTATAGACCTAATTTTAATGTTGTTTTAAATACACGTTGATTAGATTTAGGGTGTAAGTACAAAAACTACTCTCAATAATAACAGCGTAACATTTCAATTTAGAGAGAAATTGAAAAAAAGTCTTTGGATGAACGTTTGTACAATCCCACGAAAACATTGTTATGAAAAAACTCGCGAGAAATTGTCAAAACCGTGAAGATTTATAATATGAATATTAAAGCAGTTGAAAATCAAGTTTAGAAATTCATTATTCTATATTTGTTATTTAAACACATAAATATTAGTACAAGTGTTATGACGGGTGTGACTGGAGGTTTTGATAAGCAGCGTTTATTGATCGATTCGGTGACAGTGACACTAACGGACGGCCTAGAGTCTCGATTGGTTCTGCTTCCCTGTCCAGCCCAGCCAGTTGAGTCCAGAACACAAGCCACAGCCTCGGAGATATGAATCATTATATTTCAAACATACTTTGTTTATATACCAACCAAGCATACCACATCGTACCATAAAAATAGAAAACAACATTTTGTACAATATTCAACAAGTGAACAGATATTGACCAATAGGGAATGTCCATCTAAAGTCCAAGGACACCATTGGACTTAACATGATAATTATTGGTCTATTCCTCCGCATCCACAACAACAAGGAAGCACTAAATATATGTGCCACACTTTACCATTCCATTTGTGTGAGGACAGGGATAATGCTCGGATGTCCAAACCGATGCAGGTGGTTTACTTAGAGGGTCACTCCCCGAACCTTTGACCTAGAGATCCTCAAGAAATACCCTTCCACGGTGTGGGCAGCCGGGAAGTAACACCAGCCCTCTTACCCATAACAGCACACGAGACCAAGTTGGTCACATTCAAATCCTCCCTACACCTCCTCATACCTCTCTTATCTCCACGACTAACCCTTCTCACGTCCCATTATCACCTCGCAGCGCTAGGGCAAACGGTTCGAGTACGCCGAACGTTATTCCTGGTCTCCTGAAACCACGCTCTAAACTTCATGTTGGAGCTTATAACGTACGAACACTGTGCCAAATAGGACAACAAGCGTCCTTAGCTAGGACTTTAGAATCTCGCGCCATCGATGTGTGCTGCGTCTCCGAAACGCGCATACAGGATCCGAGTAGCCTCATTCACTTGACGTCATGTCAAAGTGACGAACCAACTCGATTCACACTTCGTGTATCTGGAAGCTCAGATGCTGCTTCTCGTGGCCTCGCCGGCGTAGGTATAGCATTGAGTCCTAGGGCAGAACTAGCTCTCTTAGACTGGATCCCAGTAGACAGTCGTTTGTACGCTGTCCGACTAATCGGAACAATAAGGACTCGGAAAGATAGGGACACTCGTCGTTGCCTCTTCGCCGTCTCTGCCTATTCTCCCACTGACTGCAGCTCAGATGATGTAAAAGATGAGTTTTACAGAAAGCTTTCCGACCTTCTCCGAAAATCTAGGCGCTCTGATGTAGTAATAGTGGCTGGTGACTTTAATACTCAAGTAGATAAACTAAACGAAAAGGAAAGACACCTAGGTGGATCTTATGGTGTCATGGCTCAAAGAACAGATAATATCGACCGTCTGTTGCAGCTATGCTCAGATAACCACCTGTTCCTTGCAAATACTAACTTTAAGCATAAGGAAAAACATCTCTTAACATGGCGACCCCCTAATTCGTCCCGACGTTGGACCCAAATAGATCACATCGCTATCAGCCACCGATGGAGGGGCTCGATAGAAGACTATCGCTCATTCTGGAGCACATGCTAAGATTCAGATCATGCTCTAGCGCGTATTTGCTTTCGTCTTACTGGACGTAAGAAAGACGCTGCAAGGAAACCTCTTAAGGTCCAATTTAATGATAGTCAAACTAAGAGTATATTTCAGGAACAACTAGGAAGACAGTCAGGCAGCCATGTAGGTGAAGCCCACCCCGAGGCAGCATGGAGTGATATCCGAAAAGCTGTGGAAACAGCAGTGATATCTGCTAGTAAGGTAAACCACAAGGTTAGGGAGCAACTCTGAATCTCAGCAGCATCTATCGCACTGATAGATGCTCGGAAACTCATTCCACCTGGCTCTGAACATAATGAAGAGCGGGATCAGCTTAAGCGCAAGCTGACAAGAAGTTTACGTAATGATCGTGAACAGTGGTGGGTAGCGAAAGCAAGAGAGATGGAAAAGGCAGCGGCAGTAAGGAATAGCAGGCAATTGTTCAGACTTGTTAAGGAAACCGGTATTAGGAACAATCTCAGAGAAAGATGGACATATTATACATTCTCAATCCAGGAGATTGGATCGATGGGCAGAGCAGTTTAGGGATCAGTTCAACTGGCCTTCAGCCACACTTCGGTTTCCCACGATCTCCAGTCAACTTGAATGGCAAGTAGATGTAGGTCCTCCGTCTCTTTACGGATTTGAAAAAGCCATAGAAAATCTGGAGTGAGGGAGAGCAGCAGGCCCTGATAGGTTTACTCCTGAGATTTTTAAGGATGGTGGTTCAGTATTAGCAGTGAGGTAGGTAGAATTCGGAAACTGGACGTAATCCCATCTGACTGGTCTCAATCACTGATTGTGCCAGTCTATAAGAAAGGACAAAAGTCCTCTTGTGACAATCACAGAGGAATCAGTTTGACTAATATAGTGTCTAAAATATTAGCCTCAATAATACTTCGACGCCTAACTAAAGCTCGTGAAGAGCAGACTAGAGAAAACCAGGCTGGTTTTCGACCTGGACGTGGTTGTATAGATCAGATATTCACACTACGTCAGGTTCTAGAACACAGACACATATTCCGACGCCCCACCATCATAGTATTTCTCGACCTTGAGGCAGCATTCGACTCTGTTGATCGTAAGGTTCTATGGCAGTATTTGTCACTGAAAGTAGTACCAAAGAAGTACATTAACCTTATAAAGGCTCTCTACTCAAACACAACTGGTCGAGTGAGAGCTTATGGAGAGCTGTCATCAGAATCGATTACCTCAAGTGGTGTTCGTCAGGGCTGTGCACCCTCTCCATTCTTGTATAACTTTGTTGTTGACGTGCTTTTAGAGATGACACTTTCCTCATTTAGATTTCCAGGGGTTGAACTTTTACCGGGAGATTCATTTGTTGACTTAGAATATGCAGATGACATAGTTTTATTTGGTGAAGACGCTGACAAAATGCAGAGTCTTCTGACCACTCTAAGCAACAATGCAAGCATGTTCGGGATGCGATTCTCCCCCTCGAAATGCAAAATGTTACTTCAGGATTGGGTTGCATTGACACCCGAACTAATGATAGGGAGTGAAGTAATTGAGCATGTCGATCGCTTCACTTATCTTGGAAGTCTTATCAGCCCTTGTGGTTTGGTGTGTGACGAAATCTCAGCACGGATACAGAAGGCTCGACTAGCTTTTGCCAACTTGTGTCATTTATGGCGTAGGCGAGATATCCGTCTATCAACCAAAGGACGTGTTTACTGAGCAGCAGTTCGTTCCGTCCTACTTTATGGCAGTGAAACATGGCCGGTAAGAGTAGAAGATATTCGTAGGTTACTAGTATTTGATCATAGGTGTCTTCGAAACATTGCTCGTATATCATGGGACCATCGAGTAAGTAACGCAGTTGTTAGGAAACGGGTACTAGGTAAGGATGGCAAATCTATTGATGAAGTAGTGAAACATCATCAGTTGAGATGGCTAGGGCACGTGTTACGTATGCCCAACCACCGACTGCCTCGACGTGCGATGTTTTGTTGTATAGGAGTAGATTGGAAGAAAGCTAGGGGCGGCCAAACCAAAACATGGCACCAGTCCGTGAAGTCACTGAAAAGTGGACTGAGCCATGTTGGTAGGTGTAGACTACCTGGTTGGGGACCACGAGATGATAGCAACCGATGGTTAGAGACCCTGAATGACATGGCTCAAAATCGTTTGCAATGGCGCAGGTGCATACACTCTTTGTGTTCTCCCAAATTTTAATCTCCTTATTCCTCCTTGTCTCCTTTTTTTCTCTTCCCAAATTTGTTTCACTGAATTATACTCTTTAAATAACATCTCCAAACCCTAATCTTCCTGATTACTGCTTATACTCTTACTACCTCTACCACTACGGGATTTGAATCGACAACTGCATCTCTGTGCTAATGTGGTGTGGCAACTCGAACTGATGTACGTACGTACGAAGTCCTACGTTGTTACTGACTGACTGAATCCACAAGGCAGTGGAGCAGTGTCTGGAGATGCAGCCTCATGGTATTCGGTGGCCAACAATAGGTTCATACGTCATTTGTTCCCTCAGGATCCTGTAGTCCATATTCACCATTTGTTTGAAGTCAGGGTTTTCCAACTTCCCTGAATGGAACCTCTGTATCGACCAACCTGGTTAAAGCTCTGAACATTCGATTTTCGTCCTCTCACTTTCGTAAAAAAACACTCGCTCTACGAGATGTCGGTGATTATGACTTCCCTGTTAGTGGCTGTATACGTGTAGCCATGTGAGAGTATTTTCTGGTTAGCACTAACTTTTGGCACAGTCATCGCCGACGTGCCACCTAGCGTCCTCCCTCTTCATCTCAAACCTGGACTCAGATTGATCACTTCGCGATCAGCTCTCGCTGGCGTGGTTGTGTATAAAACTGTCGCTCCTTTTGGAGTACCTATCTGGACTCTGATCCTGTCCTGGTCTGCGCCAATCTTACCTTACTTTCCAGTGGCCAACGAAATGACAACCACCAACGGATTGATGTTAGCAATTTGCTAGCAACTTCTGTTGCAAGTAAGTATCGAGCCGAGCTAGTTTCTAGGCTAGCTACCATTCCACCGAAAAGTATAGATGAGCATTGGTTGCAACTTCATGACGCCATGGAAATGGCAAGTAAATTCAGTTGTAGGTTCGCGAAACATCCCGCTTATAGGCACTGGGTTTCTTCAGGCTCCTTACAACTCATTGAAGCCCGTCGGTCTACTCCGGGTAACCGTGAGTTTGACCACAAACGATGACTGTTACGTAATGAAATCGGGCAAAGCTTACGTAAGGACCGAGAATCCTGGTGGTCGGAGCGTGCTTATGAGCTGGAAGCAGCAGCTGCATCTGGTAATTACCGGAAGCTCTTCCAACCCATCCAAGCCACTGGCAGCAAGAAGTCTGGTGTGAGCGAAACAATCTGTGAGGAAGACGGGATGCCAGTCACTAACATCCATGGACGTCTTGGACGATGGGCAGAATTCTTCGAAGGGCAGTTCAACTGGCCTGCTGCTCCGGCAACATCGGTCAGATTGTCCTGCCCTTCATGGCTGGTGACAACTAGTCCACTGAATGAGGCGGAAGTTCGCAAGTAACTCCAACTCATGAAACGCTACAAATCACTGGGCCCAGATGACTTATATTCGGCTCTTTTTAAAGATAGTGGTGACTTCCTGGCTAAGGAAATTACTGTGTTGTTTACAAAGGTCTGGGAGCTAGAGAGTGGCTTTCGTCGTACTTCGTAGCTTGTTCAAAACCCGAGAAAGATTGACTCGCGAGGAGCAGGCTGGGTTTCGTTCTGGTCGAGGATGTATTGATCATGTCTTCACCCTCCGCCAAATGTTAGAACACCGTCATACTAATCAAAGGTCAACAATCCTATTGTTTCTTGACATCAGGGCCGCCTTCGATTCGTTGGACAGTACTGTTTTCTGGGATTGTCTGTTGAAGAAGGGTGTACCTGAGAATTTCATTAACATCTTACAGGCCCTATATACAAACATCTCAGGTAGATTGGGGGCATACAACCAACTTTCTCTATTGTTCCATTCAAGCAGTGGGGTAAGACTGAATTGTCCAATCACAGCATTCCTCTTCAACTTTGCCATCGATGACATTCTGGAAACAGCTGATGGATGTAAGTAATGGCGGTGTGGATCTGTTGCCTGGAGAAAGACTTCTCGACCTTGAGTATGCGGATGATATTTTCTTACTGTGGGATAATGCCCAAGCCATGCAATCCGCACTTAATCACTTGCTAATTAGTGTCCGTAGGTATGGTATGTGCTTTGCATCTCCGAAGTGCAAAGTACTTCTACAAGACTGGCAGGATTCCAATCCTGTACTCACCCTGGATGGTGAGCAGATAAAAGTAGTGAAGTTCGTGTATCTGGGTAGCTGCATAAGTGCTGGTTGTGGCGTGAGCGATGAGATCAATACACGTATAGTGAAAGCCAGAGCGGCTTATGCCAATCTGGGCCATGTTTGGCGCCTTCGTGATGTCAGTCTGTCTGTCAAAGGTTGGATCTACAACGCGTCGGTGAGAGCAGTTCTGCTGTATGCTTGTGAAACCTGGCCTCTCCGAGTTGAGGATGTTAGATGACTCTGTGTTTGATCATCGTTGTCTCCGAAGGATTGCTAACATTCAGTGGCAACACCATGTTAGTGATGCAGGGGTTCGGCATCGTGTGTTCGGGTACAGAGATGATAATCCGATTGGTGTCACCATCTTGAAACATCGACTTCGGTGGCTTGGTCATGTTCTACGAATGTCGTCCCAGACAATTCCACGTCGTGCATTATTTGGTGACTCTGGGACTAGTTGGAAAAAGCGGAGAGGTAGTCAGCGTATGAAATGGTGTCGTGGTATGAAAGAAAGCTGCACGGGACTGGCTTCTGTTGGTCCTTCACGACTCCGTGGCTGGGGTCCGAGAGATGGTGCTACACAGTGGGTAGAGACGTTATCAGGAATGGCTCAGAATAGAAGCCAGTGGCGATCCTGCTGTAACCTTCGTTTACTTTTTTCATAAAAAGTGGTTGTATCTTCCTTAAGTGAAAGAATTTTTCTGTTTGTACCTTTCTGTTTCCCCCATTATTATTATTATTATTATTATTATTATTATTATTATTATTATTATTATTATTATTATTATTATTATTATTATTATTATTGCACTACCTTACACTACTCTTTTCTTTTTTTTCTTATACTCACCTTACCTTCTTTTTGCTCTTCCGATTGTCATTGTTTTGTGTGGCGCATGTATATTTGGTGCTCTCTTGTATCAATATTCATATGTTCAAATAAATAAATACACAGTGCGAAGAGACACTCTTAAAGGAAGAAATAATGTTTTATGTATGAAAAAACACAATTATCATTTAATAGGTGTTTTGGAAATGTTCGCAAAATATTTATAATTAGCGTCCAGTAATTAGTCGTTCGATTCACGTATAATCAATATGATAAATTGTTTGTTGTCTTGGAGAAAATGACCATTGTTTCAATGCAAACAATCCTTCGTGTTGAGAAACCTTACTGTTCGCCATATAAACAGTTTATCATGACTCGATTCAAAACTGTTATATAGAATGAATTTAACTGTTAGATAAATAAATTTAAGATCAAATTTTTATTATTGATCATTCTCTGTTTATGTGTTTTCCTGGAAGCTTGTTATTTTAAACACACTTGACAAACGTGTAGTTGGACTTAAATCTAATTCAATGATGAAATGATTATCTAGTTTAATTTTTGTTGAGTACATGAATTCGTTATTCTGAATGTTATCTGTTGTACCCTAACAAATCGTTTTCTTTTTATTGCAATGTTTTTCTTCACTGTATAGTGATTTAGCAGCCCGCAATTGTCTAGTTGGCACACAACATACCATTAAAGTGGCAGATTTTGGTTTAGCTCGTTGTATAGAACGTGATCTTACTTATCGAGCTCATGAAGGCGCTAAATTTCCTATAAAATGGACAGCACCAGAAGGTTTAGTCTATAATCTGTTTTCAACTAAATCAGATGTATGGGCATTTGGTATATTGTTATGGGAAATTGCCACCTATGGAAAAACACCATATCCAGGTGTTGAATTACAAGATGTTTATGTTTTATTAGAAAGAGGTACACGGATGCTTTGTCCTGAAGGTTGCCCTGAACCAGTTTATGAACTTATGTTACAATGTACGTTTGATTGATTGTTCCACCAATTAATTAAGTTATTTTCGATTATGTAACTTGGATAATTATGTTTTCTTCGCTTGCATTATATATCTTTTGATGTATGGTACACACAAAGCTTTTTATTCATTTCTATCTCATTAACATCACTGTTATGTGATTTAAATAGTGTAGGATAGTATTCCAGTTCTCACACAAATCGTTCGATTTGTGTGGCGCGTATGTATTTGGTGCCTCCTTGTACCAATGTTTATTTGTTTTGACAAATAAATAGTGTAGACTGTTTTCAGTCTGCTAGATTAACGATATTTCTTGCTTTGATTATTTCTTAATTATACGGTCCTTACACTAAGTTACTTTTCATGTAACTGTGTGATTACTATGGGGATCACTTTTAGCAGATATTTTTCGAGCTTAGTGGGACAATAGACCTCTCTAAAATGTAGAAGATCAGCTAGCAGTTTACAGTCGTTGCATAGACGATATTTTCATGATATTTATGAGTGTCATGGTAATATAAATTAATATAATGATAAACTCAATAATACCCGTTCATTTATTCGACTATCTGTAGAATTTACTGAATCAGAACTGCACATTCATCGTGCACCTATTTTGATGTAGAGATCGGAGTCCCAGTTCCTATGCGTTGCTCAGTACGCTCACTGCATAGAATTTCAATTGTTCCTAATAGAGAGACGTTAGTGAATAGATATGACAGATCTAATGCCATCATGACTTTATTTTTGACTGCCATCTCTCTAATCAACATACTCTAAAAGTAATCTTTTAGATCATGCTTAATGATTTTTTTGTCAAATGCGTGTAGAATTTGTGCTAGCTGCTTCTTTATTGCATGATACGAAAAATTGATTTTGTCTTGGCCAGGTTAGTAAGACAAGTCGTGTCTGCGTATTTTCGACAAACATTTTTTTTCAATCCACTGGTCTTAACATTTAAAAACAAAGACATATCTCTTCTATATGTATTTATGTGTTTATTTTCAGTTGTACAACCAATTACATCGAATACAATTAGTCGATTTCGTCTTTGGCTTTCTGAACATGATCCTTCATTATTTAGAAAACGGCAACTAAAGACGACTAACAGTTCTATATTAACATATTTAAAAAACCCAGGGCATCAAGTTGACTTGAATGAAGTTTTTTTTGAGCATTTTGTCATGGTACATTTCTACTAGTTATTTTTTGTGTTTAATGGTTAATAAGTTAATGTGGGAATCGTATTTGGTTGGGATTAATTTGTCAACTTATTGAAGGTACAACAAATCTAGTTTTCATCCTACCTGGTGTTTACGCAAAACTATAAGTTGTAGTAATTAACTACTTAGTGTTTATTTTTTCTACACTCTCCACTATTGATTAACAACTAATACATACAGATTTGTTTTGTCTTGAGAAGCAAAATAACGTTTGTCAACAACCACCCTTTCTCTTCATACTACAAATGAACTTTGTGTTCGAACCCACCTTAAATAGGCGGATTTTACCATTAGCCATCGCACAAAATGCACCATTCAAAACCAAGTACATACGCCTGTGCCTGGAGAATTATTATTATTATTTATCTATAATGTCTAATAACCAATGATTATCTTCGGCAGTAGGCAGATTTCGGCTTCTATGAATAAAATAAATTATTTTCGAGTTAGATAGATTCATGTATATTTACTAGAACAATACTAATAGGTGAAATCTGATGATAAATAAAAGTGTTTGCTACTTATTGTCGGCTGAAAATAACTATTCATTGATCACTAAGCTGGTTATAATTTCTCTGTTTCACTGAATGATTCATATGTCTGAGGAATTTCACATTTGCCTTATTATTACCATTATAATTATTATTAGACACATTTATTCAACTATTAGCCTTGTTTTAGGTACACATTTTTATTCGCTGTCATTTGCTTTTCAACAAATACTTTCATCTTTATTTCCCTGTTTTTATGTTTTCTCTGTCCAAGTGGAGATAAGGAGAAATATTGTATCTTCTAACCGTTACTACTAGTATCATTTCTTTGTTATTTTAAGGAAAAACAAACAAACAAATGTCATATGTGTGTGAATGAATAGTGGTTCTCTTTGTATATTCATCCTTCTACTAAATAATTAGCTTTTCTAATATTTTCCATTATCTCTCTCTCCCTCTCTAAATGTATTTTGTTCAGTTTTCATAGTTTATTTTTAATGCTTTGATGCGATCATTGAATTGTCTACGTTTTATTCTTAGCTTCACTCGATCAATTCTGTTTGATAAAAATTAGGTTACTTGGGTAACGCATCAAACCCTTACTATTATTTTGTTTTCGCTTATTATTAGTTTGTTGGCTTCTTACCCTCGAGACATAGATATTGTTTACTTGTAATAATTTGACTGTTACCACTTAAGGGTAATTATGGAAATAAATAAGTATATATGGTGCTGATAATTCATTGGTTGATGCTTTCGACCTCAGTAAGTTACAATCTCAAACCTACTTTATTTACTTCGATCCAGATACCTTAGAATGTTGTCGATGAATTTCACATAAGCAAATTGTCAGTGTACATAAACTTGAACATCAAACCACTTCAGAATAAAATATGATAGTTTTAAAGAGTGATTGCATAAATTTCTTTCTTTTTCCGTATTGTATTCATTTTGTTTTAAAAATATTTTGTTTGTTTTGAGAATTAACAATAAATGAATGTAAAATAAAAATATAAATCTGCAAATCATCATAAGGGCATTGATATAGTTAGTCAATACGTTTAATCGGTGATAATTTAGGGGTTTTTAAAGGATTTATCAACTTTTAAACTCATTGTAATACTGTAACATAATTTGTGTTTAATTAACAGACAAATGAGTTTAAATATCTGATAGATCATAAAATAACTTATCAGGAATCCTGCTATTCGCTTATCTATTCATTCAATTATCACTACTTAATCTTTTGAAGATATTAAAGTTAAATACTTTTTATTGTACCATACGTAATTTATTAATTGTTCATAACCTTCCTAATAAGAAACCATGTGGGGCCTACATTAGAATCGATCGATCACTGAGTAATGATTAGTGTCATTTTTGTTTTGCCGGAATAGCTTTGTGGTAACGTCTCAGACTGAACCTCGGCAATGTGTGTTCAAATTGCACAAGTAGCAAGATTATAAATGCCAACCAACACGAAACACAATTCCAGGGCTTCTCTCTGACTACCTCGAACCATTTGACAGCATTTTAGTCTGGTTTCACAATCACCACAGGTTTTAATCCTAAGATGATTTGGATAATGAAAATAGTCGTTTATTCAGTTTGATTTGCCATAAATGTATCTTTGTTGAAATTTCTAAGTACGTATTAATTCACACTTTTCACTCTCGAATTTCACTCATTCTTTTTTCGATTTATAATTCTTTTATTCTCTTTTGTACCAGATTTAGATATTATTACCATTATTTCAACTTCTATTTATATTCACCATCATTTATCTTGGTGATGATTATGATATCACATGTCCCAAGTTAGCTCGATACTCATTTCGTTTTGACTGACTGAAATTGAATAATGTATCAGATAGTTCATTGTTTATCGGTATTATAGTTTATTCTTACATAATATATTGTGAGAATTAGTTTCATCATGATAATACTGCACACGATTTATTAATTGTACCTTTTTGCACAACAATCTAAGTTTATGTTGCATAATATTTTTTTGTTTACTCTTTACGTTCATAGAACTAAGTATAGAGTTCATTAAATGTATGGTTCCTGTTAAGACTCTTTTTGTGCCAAACTAATGAATCACTTAATTTCTGTTCTTTGAAATAAGTTTATTTTAGCATGTAAACATTTCACATTATCTAACATTCCCATTGATGTTTGGTACTGTAACAGATCGTTCTCTCTTTTTGACATATGTACATCCTGTGCAGATAGTCTCGATGTATTGTTTTCTTCCTACTAATATTTACCTCTTTTTTTCAGGTTGGCAATGGCTTCCAGAACAACGCCCACCATTTTCTGATATATTAAGTCAATTGGAATCTATGCCAACCAATTCTACAATGGAAGAAGAAGAACAAATCGATTTTGATATAACTTCTACTACATCGTCATCATCGTTATTATTAAATAACAATGAAATAAAGGTGATCAACTCTAGCGAGCCAAACAGATCCACTAAACATCCACCTAATATTGCATATCCCCGACCGCCACTGCCTCCTAGACCACCCCCACCAAGAAGAAGCACCAGTTGCGATTATTTAATTGATGAGAATGATGATAATCAATTTGATATGATTAAAGGTTAGTTAAAGTTTTGTTATTCTTTGAATGTTACATGCAATTTGGAACGGTTTCTTAATTTGATTTTGGTTAAAGTATTCTGGTTTCAGTCTTTTTTTCACACGTTCCAAATCCTACTCCAACTACTTCAATTTAGTGTCACTAACCCTCACGTCTAAAGATTGACCGAAACTTAATTACATAATTCTGTACTGTTGGGCGAATAGGTTACTTCTGTTTGCATTGCTGTTATTGTTTTGTGACAGATTCTCAGTTTAGGTGATCTTAATTGAGCTCTGATACGTGAGTTAGATTTTGTTATTCGGATCGTATAACATTATGAGAAATAACAAATGGTGCTATGTGATTGTTAGTGTTCAAGCTACTGAAGGTTTATTCTGATTGATTTTAATGAATTGTTCTGCCATTATTTCTGAGTATTATCGATTCACTAAAAGTTGTTAACTTCGTTGTGAATTACACAATTTTATGTAAGAATTACTTAATAAAATTGCCCATCACAATTTTTCGACAAGTTTAGGCTATATTATCTCTTAATTACACTATATCTTACTCCTTCAGACTTCTTTGAGATTCAAATTTCTTTTGGATAAGTTCTTTTCCGCTCAATCTGTTAACACATTACAAAGAAGTATAGTTTGTTAAGTTCTTTTTTTGTAAGAAGAAACTTTCGTTATTTATTCTTTTAAACTTTATGTCATTGATAATATACTGTCATAAAATGGTTTATTTATTAACTACTATTCTACGAAGTCATTTTTATCTCATAATTTCTGAATAAAGTAAAGTGGTTTTGTTACTTCTTTAAGTTTATTTATATACTTCAGCAAACAGTTGAATAAATACATAATCTGATAAATTCTATTTTTATGTTGTAATTTACTATAAACTTTAATGAATCATTCAAATAATAACTATCTTTTAAAGAAAATAGTTTTCATTCAAATATAATTAGTTATATATATATATAAGTACAAATAGGCACCGAATATATATGTGCCACACTTTGCCATTCTCTGGAAATTCGATTTTCGTCCTCTCACTTTTGTAAAACAAACATTCGCTGCACGAGATGTGGGTGATTATGACTTCCCTAGTAGTGGCTGTATACGCGTGGCCATGTGAGAGTATTTTGATTAGAGCCGACTCTCTCCATTCTCGACCGTACCAGGATATTTGGGGGTAGTTGAGGTTATATTATATATTTAATCTTTCTACAACTAGGATTAGCATAAAACATTAAAGGATAATTTTATGATATCTTAATAAGTAGAAATATTCTATTATCCCACATCAGTCACCTTGCACAGCATAACATTGCAATGTTCGAAACCATTTTGATTTTCATTGTATTAAAAATATTCTGCTGAGTTTCCTTCGCACTATTTAAATTGGTATTAATTTTGCTTCAGTTATTTATGTATCTACGCTGAAGAAGTGCCTGAAACTAAACCAGTAAACGTTAGAAATTCAAAATTCAACTTTTATTGATATATCACAATTATCTCTTTAATTCATTAACAACTTTCCATTCAGTTGTTAATTTATATGGAACTGCGACGATTTAGTCTAGTTGTTATTATCGGTTATTAGTACAGTAGTCAGTATTCTTTAGAACTTCTACTGACCAATTCTACTATAATGATTTCTTATTAATTTACGACTAGAATGAATAATTGTGTTCGTTTCTCATATACTTGAATTCGTTTCTCTTTGGAGATAGTTTTCCATGTTGAACGCAAATATATTCAGATGGTCAGTTAAAAATAATAAACATTTACCTACTATCACAATTCGTAGTAATTGACTTTCCAAAAGTACTCTCATTTGTTCCTTTCAACTTTTTTTCCTCGTTTCTCATTACTATTATTTATATTGTTGTCTTTGTTTCACATCTTTTATCTCTTCTTTCGTTTTGTCGATATAAAATGTGACAACAGACATGAATTTTGACACGCATTTGTAGAGACTGTAACTGATGATACGCAGAAGTTCACTTAGTAGTTGTATTCGTGTGCATATAGGTCAGTAAATATTTCTGAATTGTCTATTTTTACTGAAATTTAATCATTCATCCTAACGTTTTTGAAATTATGATGTACTATCAAGTTCGGCGAAGTTTTTTTTCTCTCTTTCAAATAAATAGATTGTATAAAAATACGTAACGTATTGTTTATCATAGATTGGAACAATTATTTGATTGTACTCAGCTTTGAACAACAGAATCAGCGGGATAGTTATTATTTGTCATGGCTTGCAAATTCTGAGTTTAATTGTTTAAAGCAAGTGTGACTAATATCACTTAGTACAGAAATTAAAAAAAAACTACTGTCAAAATTTCCCTGTTTTGTCAAACAAACTTATCATAACAGTTCTTAATTCCGATAGTGTAATGACTACGCTATCATGCATTTTCATAAAGTCCTCACTAAAAATCTCCTAGTTTTTCAACTGACATTAGTTTATTAAACTGAACTTCAAATTTTTAAACTATCAGTTAATAGAATAATGCCTTAGTCCTTCAAAAGTTCAAATTCTTATTCTACTAATTTATTAATACTTTGAACCCTATTCCATTAACTTTGTTTTGGACAGCCATATAAAATGTCGTCCATTAGACCTTAAAATAGTCAAATTCACAGAACTATGTTTGATTAAAAGTTGCACCATAAATTCATAATATTTTTCACACATATTTTTATTCTTGTGTCATCGTTTCGTTTAATCTTATATCTTTTTTTAGAGGATTGTAAATCCGATTTGGGTAGTGATATACCAGTAAATGCTATAAATAATAACAATAATGTTAACCACAAATCTCATAAAGGTATATTTACAAGGAGTTTTAAGAATCCCCTTTCGAAACAATTACATATTGGTGATTTAAGTACTGATGAGTTTGGTACTGCTGAAAAAGATCTACCATTTACAAACTCAGGATCTCTTGGGCGTAAAAGAACTGCACCGCGACCACCAAGACGTACTACACCAGTTAAACCGTTGAATTTCTTAACTGATTTCAATTCATTAGAAGATAATAGTTGTGTTTACCCGAATTCCCATCTGGATGACTTTGATCATCCACCACTGCCACCCCCACCAGTTCATCTTGATTCTAGTCATCATCAAATACATCAACCCCGATCACAACAACATCCTCGTCTAGCCCCACAGCCTAATAATGGTTCATTACCAAATAACTCGAACTCAACACCATTTTCGGTGCCATCAGTTATGAGTAGTTCTGGTATGTAAATTATTTTATCAATTTACTAGTCATATTTATGCTATAATTTGTGACGTTTGTTATTCTATGTGATGATGATTGCTTTTTTTTAAAAACTTCGTAAAATAAATTTTTAGGTTTACGTAATCAATATGTAGAAATATTCCGAAATTTACGTATTGGGATTTTAGTATGTTTGGAAATATGAATGATGACTTGATTGCTTGAAACAATCATGCTCAGTTCGAGAGCCGAAGGATTTTGATCAGATTTCATGTAGTATTGGGAGTGTTCAGATTGTTTAGGAGTTCCAAAATAGAATAAAACAGCTATTAGACACTATTTTACCTCGGGTTAATCAGTTGCTCAGGATGGATAATGAATGTGTACATAGGTTTAAAGGTTCGTCAGTCCGACGTACAGGTTACCACTCATTATTATGTCCCTAGCTTTGGCATCACCAACTTATTAGCTCTGTTTTACGCAGGAAATACGCCAATAACTTTCTAAAATACTTTAAACTTCCTAATTCGTCAACTGGCAGCAGGAATATTTCAATTCCCTCTACGTAGTGCAAAATAAGTTACTATGCAACGTAATTGTCTTTTGATACATGTCTGTATATTTCTTCTCCAACAAAGTTACTTTTATTTTTGTACTAATGAAGATGACCTGAATCCTTGCAAAACAGTTTGCTCTCATTTTGTAACGAATGACCGACTTCACGATTTTGTTTCTCAAAAAATATATTAAATTTTTTTTACTCGTCAAACATAAAGAGTTGTTAGCAAGCCATATTCTGGATAGGTGCATGTTCCATGCAGTTTAATGTTGGGGGACTCTAACTATCCCATTTTTAGCCAATCAGCGCTTGAAGACAGATGAAGACTCTAGAATATTTTTGTACATAATTCATAAATTTACTAACATTTTTTTCACTAAAACTGTTACTCCCATTCAACTTGGTTTTTTTGAAGTATGATCGCATTCCTGTTCAACCGTCCTCTGATTTTGAGGAATAGTCAGATGAAGTGAAGTATCCGAAGAATACTAAGCAATGAGAGTAGCTGACTCATATAAAGAGAGATTCTAATAACATTCGATGAAAATATGAGATTACTTGTCTTCCTGTATACCCTAAACTGCCTCGTATTCTGTACCAAAACAGTAGCAGAAAAATACTAACTATTCAACTAAATACACTTCTAGAGAGGATTACTTATCAATTATAACATCTTGCAAAACTATCTTCTAAGTAGATTGTAATTTTACTATGATTGTTTACATCATTTTTCCTATCTTACAGCAATTTTCCCATCTTCTCGTCAATTTTCATATGTGGATCCCATTCCGTTAGATAACAGCCTGACAAGATCAATTTGTCCTGATCGTCTAATATCACCACTTGCTCCTCCCACACCAGGTAAACATATTCAGCTTTCTTCAAAGTCACCAGCTTTATCGAAAACCACTGTAAATTCGGATTTATCTAACAAAACTAATCCCGTTGTAGATCATTCCCACAATAAGCGCAGTATAGATTCTAATTTTCTTAATGAATCTTATTCAGGGAATAATGTTTCTTCTAAGCAAAATGTTCATCCTACCAATGTTTCATCATCTGTCTTTCAAGAGGAATTACGAGATAGATTAAAAAAGCATTCTCAACAGCTTAAAAGTTCATCTCAGCTGAAACCGATTACATCTAAATCTATACTAAATAATTCACCTAGTAATGTTACGAATTCAGTGCTGCGTAATCAGGAAAAAAGTGATTCAAAATCATCGGTTTCTAATTCTTCCCCTTACTTCACTATCCCCCGATTAAGACCACCACCACACTCTGCGAATCCACCTCGGATATCCTCGAATAATACTTCTGGATCCAGTAACAATCAAACATCAACACGTGGAAAAGTGGAGCCTCCATGTTGTCCTTCAGAATTGATCCGATCACTTGCATCGACTCAGATCAAAAATGATAATAGTTCTAATTCAACTGTCACTACGACCAGCAAGTTGCCCACAAATATCAATAGTAATGATAACAATTCCCCAAAACCTCATTTCAAAAGGTCTGAAAATGAAATCTCTGATAAATTATCTGATATAATACAAAAGCGTTTAAGTTGGACTGGTCCAACTGATGATAGTTCAGCTGGTAATCAAAAGCGGTCCCAACGATTATATCTACCTACTATATTTTCTACATCATCTACAGCATTGGACGAGACTAATGGTAATAATCACTGTGTTCCACCAACAAAACACCACTTGAAAAAGCATTTATCAAATATTTTAGGAGACTTAGAACGTTTGATTCGTATGAATGATAAAAAAATTCCTGGAAATATTATTTCCTCTCCCTCGTCCGCTGCCATTTCATCATCATCGTCATCAAATTTAGAACAGTTAATTGAGTTAGCAGATCAAATGGAAGCATGTCGACTTAGTTGTTCTGCATATATTGATCAGGCTACATGTTCAGCTCGAGCAAAATTTAATTTTCGTGATCGATTCGCATGTTTACAAACATTTAGCAGTTTATTACGTTCTAAAAAACTCGATTCTACTTGTAATAATAATACTAATAATCTAAGTAAGTACAATAAAAATAATGCAAATTTATTAAAAGACGCAGAGAATGCCATCAAAGAAATTATTAATGATTTAGACAAACTAACCGATAATGTAAATACAACATTATCATTAGATACTACATTGAATAATTCAAATTTCCCAGAACATAAACCTAATTCAAATTTAGTAACATCTAATCAATCCAATTTAACTTGTACAGAAAATCTTAGTATTACTGACAATAGAAGCGCTACAGTTTTCACTTGATTTCTTTACATCTATGTGCATATTATTATCATTATTTCTGGTTAGTATTAGGAGATTTTACATCGAAATTTATTGTTCACCTGTTTCCAACATCTGCATTTTACTTCCAACTATCATTCTTTGTTTGCTTTTCTCTGTCAATTTAGACAAATTCCTCTCTTTTTTTATGTAAATGTTTACAAGTTGAAAAATCTACTTTCCTTTTTGTTTTATGGACATAGTTTGGGTGTTTTTCTTCTCAATCCTCGGACTATTCAATGGCCCTTGCATTAAAAAGTGTACTAATTTGTTTGTTTGTGTTATTTTAGTTTATCTCCCGTTTTTGTGTTTTTACGTTCTCATTTAGAGTAGAGTAGACAAATCAGTCAATCTTTAACACATCTCTTTAATCCACTCTGCTATTTATCTGGAATACATATACTTCACTCTTTCCTTCGATTCCTTTACAATCTAAATGAATGTATATATGTATGCCTATTTCAGCGCACATCTTAATTTATACTCTTGTAAATAAAATGTTTTCAATTGTTTTGTTTTTTTCGTTATTTCAACGTTCAGTCATTAATTTTATTACTATCATTACTTAATTTTCCCTTCTTTGTACTATTCTTCACCAATGTTCCAATAATATTGTGTAGTATGTCTCTTGCGATTTGTTATCGAAAATGATTATTTTTTCAATAGAAAACAATGTGTTTTTTTTCACTTCCAGTCAGAAATAAGAAGTTTTGTGTTTGTTCCCACATTCAACTACATGCGCACAAATTTACTCAATCATTTGAATTCCAGGTGAAATTGTAAGGTTGATCAATTAATATGAATATTTGTTCGTTCATTTGTATAATTTTATTCTTAGATCTGTTTATTTTCTCTTAATTTATCCTGATATTATTTCATTTGTTTCTACCATAATCCTGTATCACTGTTGGTGCGTATTTTGATTACTTACTTTAGATTCTCTCTCTCCTGTCACATGGTATCTTCGTGCTTATTCTTTATCATTTCCTCCCCCCACCTATAATGTCTGCCTAACTGTGATCTCTGAAAAAATAATTACCATATATATATATATATATATATAGTATCCTATTACCCTATTTTGTTCTTAACAGCTTACTACTTATCTTCATTTTTCCTGTTTTTCTAATCCTTCTCTCCATGTGCTTGTTTTCTGTGAAGTGTTATGGATCTGATCATACTCATGATGAAATTAATGATTGTCATTATTATTATTACTATTAGTAAGATTCTAATCTAATGATCAATATATAATAATTTTGTTAATAATATTTGATTTTTGTGTAAATATAGGATGACCTATGCACTCAGGTTGCACGTGTGTTCATTCAATATTTTTAGATTGATTTTAATTGGGTCAACAACAGTATGTAACAGAAGAAATATGAGTTCATGTTTAGAAAATGTACTTTTTTAAAGAAAAAAATAGTAGGAAATTAAATGTTTCTCACTGTTTCCGACAATAGAAAACATAAAATCTTATGTGATAATGTTTTATATGCCAAATCTAAAACTTTCTCTAAATTAAACATTGTCACTTTTTTATTAGCTCTATTTATTTCGGTGTTATAAACCATACAGTTTTTACTGAAAGGTCATTTCTGTACCTTTAAGCCTACTTGTTATGTAAAGGCTATTAACAATACCATACTGTTTAAACTGAGATGAATTCGCGTCGTAATGATTCAAGGGTGAATATTTAAATCCCAAAATCGTAGTTCTGATTTTCGCTTTACAGATAGAGAATAACTGAGTTTGAAGTCAATGCAGTACATACTTTCATTGTCCCAACTCGCTTGTTCTTTGATTTAGAATTTGTGTATTGTAAAGTTATGAAGCGACCTAAGTTGCTTTACTTTACGTCGAGAAAGTGGAACAATTCTTTGAGAGTTTTGTACAAGTAACATGATGCTAGGTGATTGCAAGTAACCGCATCGAGGCCCTGTACTTTGTTCTAGTACTAGTTGGAACTCGTTACCACGTTTCTGCAAACCTGAAGAAACTAGTGCTGTATATTCGTTTTATATCCGCGTCAGCCATTGTCACGGAACTTTTACCTCCGATCCATTCAGGTCAAAACATAATGCAAATTATGTTGAGTCTGTAAACTGCAACTTGTTTGGTTAAATTCGAATACTACTAAGGGCTAGGTGACCATTATATTGATACTATTCAGTGACCAATCAGTATAAGTCGTTAAACCAGTAATGCTGCCAAGTGCCAAGGATTTTGGTATTAAAACATGAAACAAATAACAATGTGAATTATGAGCGGACTAATAATTTAATTGGATCACATTCAAAGGGAGGTATATTTCTAAGTAAAGATTTTCGTCTCATGATGAACCCCAATACTGATTTTGCAATTCTATATATCACAAGCTGACACATCGTCCTGTCTTTTTCTGACGCACTTTGGGATTGTGAATTATAATTATTTAATACATTATGTAGTAAAAAAGATAAACTCGACCTTTTGAAGATGAGCAAAATCCTGACATACTCATTAAACTAAAACAGAAGCCACCCTCCTAAAAAATAATAATTCAGTTCTTTCTAGTATTATATTGGTCGGATGAGTGTCTGATATAAAATATAACCTGAATCAGCTACGTCAGTTAATGTTGTTTAGAATTGTTTACTACTATCATTTTTACACACTTATCGTAGATGTGTTCGTTAGTGCTTGTTTCCCGGTATAATTTTCCGAAGATTAGACACATACTTGAGGACTCAATTATCTATAGATCATATGGATGGGATAAATTTTTATAGTGGTAACGTCGATGAAACACTCTTCTAAAAATCCTCAATATCAATATGTTAACTACTAACATTCTTCATTTAAAAAATCGTAATCTTATAGTGGTAGAGTATTTTTCATCGTAATTGACTGATACCGTGGTTGCATATATTCAATATGATTGAATTTTGAAACTTAGTGAACCCTTATTTGATATATGACATTCACAGTTGACATTAATGGTTATTCATAAGATGTGTGTAGTTTGTGGATATTGTTGAATTTTTATAATCTTCATGAAGGAGTGATTTTAGGCAGTTCTTAATGATCATAAAGTACTGGAAACCTGTTTCGTTCTAGCATGGGATTCACCGGCGACCCTACCATGGATCTAATGACCTTTAGGTCCCACTATGAATGCCTAATGTCTAGATCACTGAACAGCAACTAATGGTTTTTATGTCTAGCTTGATTTAACGTAGAATTCATGGATGCGCACTCGTAAGGAATCACGAAGATCAGTCCGTCATGGAAATTATCAATATTACTTAAAATACAAATGATTACTATCATAACGATACTTGAAATTCATACAATAGGTAAATTTATCAAAAGTTAAAAAATGGCTTTTTTTAGGGTTAACGTATTTGGATTAAAGTGATATATTATTAGAAAATTTGTTGAGTCTTGAATAAGGTATCGGTGTGACTATAATTTATGGACGAACCAATCAGATATAAGATAACAGGTATTGGATTTTAGCGCGAAATTCATTCATCGATTTGGCTAAATAACATTTTGGCATTTTAGTTTATGTTAGTTCGTGATGAAAATCTTAAATCTACTTCCTAACCTTAACCGTCAACTATAAATCATATTTCTAATTCTCCACTCTGGTTTATAATCCTCATTCGCTCCTAGTTATCAAATGGACTCTATCAAGGTAACTTTAATGTCGCTGAAAGGTCGTCCATAAATTATCGTACTGATCATGAAGTGGTTTAGAATCATTGATAATTATATAATTTTTGTGTATATTTGTGTTCACTAGAGTTACAGATACATTTCTGTAAAAATCAATTTAGCCTTTTATTATCGACTTTTTATGATATAAATACAAATACTAACACATGCATGCGAATATATATATATATATATATATATATATATATATTTATATATATATATATATATATATATATATATATATATATATATATATATATATATATATATATATATATATATATATACTGTTAACTGATATAAAATAAACATAATCATAGCCATAATTTCAACAGTATTGATTTCCAATAAAGCATGAAAAGTATTTAGTTACTGTGTAATGGTGAATGAATGAAAATTTATTTAGTTGTTAACGTAATCAGTTTTTATGACTTCAAAAATAAAAATATCAAAACGAAAACTGAATTAAAATAAGTAGAACGGTCATTCGTTTCAAATATTATCGGGTTTATTATTGATGACTGTACAATGGATGACCTATATTAAATGAAAATGTGGGGGATAGATATTAAATTACTCAAAGAAAATTTCAAATATTCTACCAAAATTAAGATGAAATGAGTAGGTGAATTTTATTAACAAATAATGTCATGCTGTATTTAATTCACTACCGATATAAAAATATTAACACCATTGGATGCCGGCCAGCTCAGTGATCTAGAGGTCAAGCGTTCACGCGAGAGACTGATAGGTCCTAGGTTTGAATCTCGTGGATGCACACAGTTGAAAAGTCCCACAAAAGGATGAGATGACCATCTAGTACTTCCAGGTTTTCCATAGTGGTCTAGCTTCAATTGACTCATGGTTTCAACTACTGAGATATAAAAATGTCAAAATTAATTTTATGAAAGAAACATATATTGTTCGGTAAAAATTTCTTATAAACAATTGAGTTTTCTATACTTTTGTATTTATCCTAACAAACCTGGAAGTACTGGACGGCCTTATTGTCGTATTTCGGGACAAGATTCGAACCCATGACCTATCAGTCTTGCGCGCGAGCGCTTAACCATTAGACCACTGAGCCGTCAGGGATCCAATGGTGTTATTGTCTAACTTCAACTAATCCACGAAATTGAGCGACACGCCCATCGTTGTCTTCAGTGAGTTACTATCACACAACTGACCCAATTGAACTCCATTGGTCACTGCTTCACGCTAGAACTCCAGGAAGGTAGTCACTAGTGGGCATATACTGATTAGTATCAGAATAA